TACAAAAATGTTTATAAAAATAAATTGTATGAGTATAATATTATTTTCGTGCCCACTCTATACATGTAGTTTTTTATTTTTATCCCGAAAATCTGTTTTTAATCCCGAAAATCATTAGTAAACGAACCATATAGTTTTAGTTTTTTATTAATAATAAATCTTAAAATTACTATTTTTATTTTTTAAGCAATTACTGCGAATCGGAGGCTATGCTACTTCCAGGTCTCACTTCCAAACTTTAATTTTAAATACTCATTTTGAGACCTTTCAGTCGAGTTGATCTTTCGTATTCTGGTCCCAGTGGAAAAAAACGTAGAAAAGTCATGTGTCACATAAGTGTCGACTTTGTGCCAAACTTTTAAGAACTCTCATCTAAATTGCTCCAGCTCACCCCACTTCCTCTATAAATACTCATTGTCACTTCTTTCCACGCCGCTATTCTCTCTAAATGTTTTTGCATACATGTTTACAGGGTGATTCATTAACTGTAAGACATTTATTTTTTGCTTAGAAATTTGCAGTATTTTTATTTTAATACATATTTGTTCATGTTATTTTATAACACCATAAAATAACTTAATATTCATTTTTTAAAGTACTTTTCAAAACTCTCAACTCTCTCAAACTTAAATGTAATCGTAGGTATATAATAAATTTAATATATTTTTTTTTTAATTTAGAATGATTTGCTAAACAATTTAGGTGGTCGATAACCAGTTATGGATTAAATATTTTAAATGTTATTAAAGTTTAAAATATAGGACGGGTGGAGGAGGAAGGGTGTAGTATTATTTTTATTTACACGAATAACTCTACCACACTCCCATCCTAAATTTTAAATTTGAATAACTTTAAAAATAATTATTAATTATTCAAAACTGCTTATCGACCGGTCAACATTTTTAGGATATTACAAAAATAGTTAAATATAAACATTACCGTTTAAGTTTCAAAAGTTGTAATTAGTTTTTGAAAAAGAGAGTGACTTACGTTTAAATGGATCATTCGGTATAATATATTCTATCTGTTGGTAAATTAGAGTAGATTAATAAAAAAACAGTGGAAAAATGTACAGATAATTTGCAAAATTCTTGTAAATGGACTATAGAACTTGAGTTATACAATGATTTAATGTAATCTAAACGGCACCACATGCCTTATGTGTACAGAATGTCTCGATTTCACATCAGCATATTATGAATTCACGGTTTCTGTACAGGATAAACATTAATATTCTGTTAGCAAATACCGCCTTATTGATGTCGGAAAATTCGATGTCGCTCTACCATCAAAATTAGGTACTTTGTCATTTAAACATCTAATATAATCCCTGTTTGGAAAGCTATCCGGTAGTACCTGCTATATTCTGTGTGACGTACAGGTGACAGCCGTTTATTAGCGTGTAAAATAATCCGTACAAATCATACACAACACAATAACAAGTCTCAACTATAAAGTACCGTGTATTATTATCACTGCCTCGTGATAAATAGAGAAAGACATTATGTTTTCATAGGCAAATCCGGATACCTTACGGAACCAAATTTATTATTTAATTGTTAGTTGATGATGTAATGTGTACTCGTATTTCGACGATTTTCAATAATTTGATTTTACGCAGAAAAACTGTTCGATTTATGTTCGTTATTGAATATTGTAAGACATCTGTCCCGAATTGATGTATTCAAACGAGAAATATGACACTATACCTACTTATAATAATAATAGCAACAACTATTATTATCGACTTCTTAAATCGATATTTTTTATAACTACTTGAAGTGATCAGAGTCCAATTGAATGTCGTGACAGCTTAATACGTCTTTCGATACTTGTACCGCAATCGTTAAACGTTCATAAAATATAAATAATACAACATTAAAACCGCGATTATAATAATATACGCTTGGATAAACAGATCTAGATTATTTAACAAGTGTAATTTAAAATACTAGTTGCAAAATTCGCTTTGAAGTCGAAGTTAGAGTCAAAGAGCCACAAATTATATAGTACAATAGGTATTAATTGAAAATATATTGTACACTACTCGTATTACTAATAAGTCAAATTATAAGACAGTACTTGATAACTTGATTTTTTTACACGTTTAACAGCTGATTAACTAGTATAATGTTAGCCAGCATTAAAGTGCAAAAAACAATATGATGTATTATGTTTATTTACATTTCACATTAAAGCGTATTAGACCTATTAGTAAAAATTTACATACAACAAGGACCATTAATGTGATATCTAATATACATTGTTAATTTGTACTATAATATTATAAAGTATATTTTAAAATACTGAACTGTTAATATGATACATATATTTGTATGTATTATTATATATTTAGACATATTAACACGTATAATAATCGAATTACTCAGTAATAAATGTTTATGGTTAAATTATTTATTTTTGATAAAAAATATTGTATTATTAAAATATTGACCCATTAGTATATCTATTTTAAAATACAAACCATATTATTACCTAATTTCTATTTTAATATTATAACATTTTTTTTTTAAATTAATTACTTTGATAGTTAATGTATGTTTTGTAGGTATCATATGAGTATAGTTATAATATCGTAATACATATTATATTTTGTTTGATCTCATTTTCACATTTTCATTTTTATGTTAGAATTATACATTAGAACATTTTGTTCATTTAAAATGTTAGTTTTTGAAAACGAATAAGTGTTTTTTTTCTTTGCGGGTTTTTACCCACGAACATAATATATAATATTGTGTTTGCGAACAATTACACATCATAATGTTAGTTGTAAAGTTATATTTGAGCAAAATAAACTTAATATAAGTATTCAGTTATTTTTTTATTTCCGTTGGAACTATAATTATTTAATTATTATAACTACTTTAATAGAATACAAAATATTGCAATAATATTGAATACACAAAGTGGTGTGCAATGCAACTAAATATATCTATTCATAACTATATTAGTCTTTCTCGAAAATCTTTTTTGATAATCCAAATATACTATTTTATTGTATGCTGCTACACCTTTCTCTACTGGAACGCCATATCAGTTTTCTAATCTAAATCTAAACGGATTTTGCCGCTACGTTTTTAATTATTTCTTGTAATTTATCAACAGTAACAGTAACAGTGATAACCCTCATTTTCTGGAAATTCTGTTATCCCTAAACTATGATGTCCTGGTTTCTTTATAAAAGATTTGGCCGAGGATTTTTTTTTTGCTTTTACGCCACATTAGACGTAGGTAGTACTGTGTATTTAAGTTTTAACTAGATAATTTTTGCTTGTCAGGCACATTGTTAATTAATGTGAAACTTAATTCCTCCCGGGACGTCTCGTTCTGGATGCGAAGTTCACCCGGGTAAATGTATTAAATTTAATGTTTAAAAACTCTCAACACAATCTATATCATACGGCTGATTACCATAATACATATTATTATTATCGTTTACGACTGCTCGCCACCAATGTTCTCATTTCCAAAGACGTAGATCGTAAAAACGATAATAAATAATAATAATAACATTTTAAGAAGAAATCCATGTTAAAAGATTATAGTTCAACAAAACAAACGGATGTATAATACGTATGTACAGAGTGATTGGTTGAACTATTTTATAATAGTTGTATCAACTATTATTTTTTTCTAAATAACTATTTATTTTTAAAATTGTTTACTGTTATTGGTTTATCGTTTTGCTCTTAAAATAATTGCAATTTTATAGTTTTTCTTGTTGAAAACATTTTTGTTTTTGCAATTTTCGATATCATACAATTATCAAATATTTACCTTTTTTTAGTAATTTCTGGAGTTCTATAAACTTTTGAACCCTAAACGGTAACGTAAATATTATCTGAACTTTTTAAATTAAGAATAATTTACTGAAACTTTTGACCGGTCGATAACCAGTTTTGAATAATTACTTTAAAAATTCTTAAAGTTTAAAATTTAGGACGGGGGGGGAGGAAGGGTGGAGTGTAGCCAGATTCTAAAAGGTAAATATTTATGTTTACTGATGGTATAGCTATTGATAATATAGACGAAGCTTGGGATAAACTGTCGAATATTATCTAAGATGTATATATGGAGAGATGGAATAAAATCTTTTAATGCTATACTTCAATAAATCTGTGCGTATACGTCAATAGTCCCAAGTCACAACCCACCAAATACTATATTTAATGATTAAATTAAGAATATTAGAGTATCTGTTTTTCTAGATTCACAATCCGTATATACTGTGTAAGATTAAATTTAATAAAACTAGAACAAAAGATAATTCTCACTGCAAAATACATACTTAATAGTGGAACCAGATTATTCTTAAGACCATCGCTTATTCGATTAGTAAGCTCTATAAGCTTATCGCAGAATATATTCCAAAAGTTATTGACTGAGTTTTAGTTAATCCTATATTATTCGTTCATTCATTTATTGAATTGAACAAAATATAAAAAATAAAAAAAAGTAAATGAACAAACCGATTAAATAATTTGTATTTGTATGGCTACTGAGAAATAATACAAATTTAATATATCGCTGTGTTGTTTAAGCCGATATCAAAGATATGGTTAGAACTGCCATTACCCCAATTATTATTCCGATTACCTGTAACAAATACAAGTATTAAGTAGTTCACATTTAGTCGTGAACAAAACCATATTTTTCAAATTCTATCTCATGAACATTTTCCAGAGCTACAACTGAACATAATACGAAGATGGTTTAAATAAATTATGAAAAATCTAATATCTTCTAAAATATTGGTCGGGCCACAGTTAACCGATCATCCTGTATGCGGGGTTTATAATAATAATTGTTACACGAAGACGACATAGCCGGCAAACCGGATGAACCGGTGCCGATAGAGCCAGACGGTTTAACGATACGACGAATAATAATACCACGGGTCCATTTCCACCAGACAGCACTTAGGTGTGTCAAACGGGAAAACTGCCGGAAGGCGAGTCCCGAGTGAAATCTCCCAGCAAACACTTTATAAGAACGGCTCGCCGGCTGTTGCACGTTTTATTTTCTTTCTCACCTCATCGACAACCTTATACCGTGTCCGTGTAACCGCTGGAGCCGACCGAAAATATTATTATTATTATCTATTATTGTGCGAATACATAATATATTATTCAGGTTTTTTTTTTTGTTTTAATATACTATCGTTTTAAGTGCCAACAATTCGTACACCGAAAAAAAACCGAATAATATGGTTAATAAACGAGTGAGTATAAAATTATCGTGCATAATTTATTTTATTTTTTCATCCGATCCCTTAGGCTTTGGTTTCGCGAACAATAGTAGCCCGCTCCTATCGAAACTTTTTCAATGGATTGCCACTTATGTTCACCAAAACAGTTACTTCCAAAAGAAATTTATGGGAAAATCTAAACGTCACGGAACGTGTACCTACATAACCCAAAGTCGCCGCCCTTGACACTCCAATAGTAATAATAATAAAAACCGTCATTCCGTCGTACGCGGGTTTGATACCAAATAATAACTCGATTTGCTTTAATAAAATATAGCGATTCACTATTTAATAAGTAACGTTCGACTTTTAATCATGAGATATTGTTAATGCATTAAAAAATAAAGTGTAATAGTAATCACTTAATGGTTATGATTGAAATCCGAATATTTTCCACTACTGGTAATTACACTGTACAGTATACATCACAATTTGATCTTTTTTTTTTTTTTATAAGAATCAAATGTTTATTTATTTTTTTGAAACGCTTTCGCTGAATTCGAACTTTCCTCAATACTTCTCAATCGGTGATCAACATAAAAGTTGCAAATGACTTGACAAAAACAAACCAGAATTTTCCAAAATTGTTTGTGTTTAAAAAAACCTATAAATTCCACATTAATTCTGAGACGTTGAAATTCAACGAACAAATCCATATATTTTTTGGTTTTTTTTTCCAAATTCGTATTGCTCAGAATTACCGATAATGATTGAATATGGGCGTTAGTACAAAAACAACAAATATACTATGCTAAATATTATATTGTTGATTACTTGTACGTAACAGACATTTAGTAATTTTTTTTTTTAAATTACCGTTAAGTATATGAACGTTTTGAATCAAATTTGGTAGGTATAGTGGTAATTACAATTGAATTTTACAGGAATACGAAAAAAAGTTATAATTATAATTAGTTCTAATTAGCATTGTATTTCCTCTTAAAAATGTGTGTGAAATTCTTATAACAATAAGGTTTTATTGGTATAATATAATGTTATTTGGTTTTTCGCTCCTTTAAATAATTTGAATGATCCATCAGGTCAATATGTTAGAAATTTGTATCAATGATATTTGTACAGCTTACGACTTAAACCCTTTGTGCAAGCGGCGTAGAAAGTCAACAGTATGTCTGTTTACAAGCTATTCCGGTCGCGCTTAGTAACGAATTTCTAATTCATTAATAAATCACATATATTCAGTAATCGGATGAACGATTCAATGGAAATTCGTTTGATAACCTATCAGGGAGAAAATTATACTTACTAAACATCCCCGATAGCTTACACTAATTAGAAATACGAATAACGCTTTTCGTTGACTTATTTAAGAGATCGTAATATATTATATATATTATGCATACATTTACATTGACGTATAAATATCATAACAATAAAAGTACTCAGTTTACATCGACAGATAAAATAAATAGTAACCTAATCTATTAGTTATAATAAAGGATATAGATCTATTTTAATAATAGACATTTTAACACAACTTATGCATATTGACTTATAACCGATAATAATATAATTTATTGTACGAGATTACATAGTATGATTGTATGGTTTTTCGAGCATTCGTTTGAATAATTTTAATAACTAAAAGCACAAAAATCAACTACCCCTGTTTAGAAACACTATTTCTACCCAAAATACATAACTTTTAAACGTTATAAAGTAATGACATTTTCGACTAATGTGTAATAGTGTTCCCATTCAATGCATTAACACGCTCTAATGCCTAAACATTTTGGATCACCATAGATTCATAAAAAGTAAATATTTAATAATAAATACAATAACGAATAATATATACAGTTTTAATATACAATACATTTTCTTTATACATTTTTCGTAAATGATTTAATATTAACAAATATAATTATTTGATTCTATTAATCATACCGATATAAAAATGTTAAAAATGGAAATTTAAAAACCCCAAATAAAAAATATAATAAAATACTATTACATTGCAGTATTCGTTTCCCTACAAAAAAAATATATACTACACAGTAACAAACTGTCAATAACGATTAAACACTAACGAGGTTAAAAATAATATAATAATAATAAAAAAAACTGTGTAAATCTATTTCCTCGTCAAGTCTATACATTGTTTAATTATCCGTGTTTTATTTATTTATTAAGTAATAAGCCCTCTAACCTTTCTAATTACGCTTAGCAAATTTAACACAAACATAGTTTGATGAATTTAATGATTTTCCAAAGCTCGTTATTGAAAAATCCATAAACTTGTTCACAACTGTTCACAGTTTTAACGGATGTTATGTATTAATACTTGCTAAGTTGATGATTTTGGTTTGTAACATTAAAAGTTTTCAATTGCTTATTAAATTAAACTATGCTTAATTAAATTGTTGTGTTCTACATCGAGTTCAATCGTTTTGTCAATACCGAAAGTGTATTAACTACAAGCATACATTACCGCTATTGTACGGTTAATAATGGGATATTAACACTACATCAGTATAATATTATATAATACAATTTAAAAATATGCATTACGCACATTTGAGGATTTATTAGTGCATATTTCGGATACATTTTCAGGCTCTGTACATTGCCATTCAAGTTTCAAAAGTTAATAGAACTCTTGAAAAAAATTTTACATTGTCTAGTATTGTAAAATAACATGAACAAGTGTCTCAAAAACTGATAAATTGCAATTATTTTGAGGAAAAACTGTGTCTTATCCTTAAAGAATCACTCTATATACATCTTAAGACGAAGTCATCCAAGCGCACACAAATTCATTATATAGAATAAAGATTATATTCAAAAGATAACTTATCGAAAATAAATGAAACGGTGTTTTCTAAAAAATAATGGTGGTACACGATTTAACGTGTAATGTGTGCAAAATTCGCTTAAAGGCGTTGTTGTTATTAATCTTCCTATGTTTTTAATGGTTATTTTTTCAACATGTATATCAACTCTTTGAAAATAATTCTCAATGAGTTTTTAATCGATTTTATATTAAAACCAACGTTAGAATTCCAATGACTTTCTATTTTTTTATGTGCTTTCAATGAAGATGACATTAGCCGGATATATATCTTAAAATAATTATTATCTTACAATGGTAATAAACCGTTCCTTTCCAGTCACCCTGATTCTTCAAACCGCTTTCTTCGTTAATCAATTTCGTTTTTTTTTTAATACATAACATTTTAAACTCGGTAAGTAGACTACTGGCACAAATAGATGTAAAGATTCACTTAAGCTAAAAAAATACAATCTAACTAAACAAATCAACCTAACAAAGAGAGATAACCGTCTTAGTATTTTATTTGAAATAATTTAAATTAAGACGTTCGTAGCTAAATGCTATCCACATCTCTGGATATACTTGTACAATTTAACTTTTTATAACATGATTGAGTAATAATTTTAAAAAATATAGTTGGAATAATTAACTTATGTAGTCGTGTGAACGACAACCTTCTTTGTTTAATTTTGAATAAATAAGATAAAACAAACAACACGATGTTAATCAAATAAAATATGATTGTTTATTTTTTTTATAACAACTACTTTTTAAATGTACTTTTATGAATTTAAAATACAAAAAACACATGCTTGTAATTAGTCTTTATTTAAGTAATTTTCAAAAGAATTTTTCAGTTTATAAGTGGCAAACAATTTTTTTTCTTATCATAAGAATAGTTTCCATTTAAATAAAACCCGGTTTTATACATACATACCAATTCAATCTTATTTTTAATATAATTTATCAATTGATAATATACAATACTGTACATAATATTCTTCATTATGAAATTATAATTACAATAATTAAACTGTTTATCGTATAAATACTGGATATCTTTTTTTCTTATTTTAACAAAAAAGTTTAAAAATTTCAATTATGCATTGGTTAAAACAATTTGTTGTTGTTACATTGCAAATAAAATATTTTAATATTAAAATAAATGTGGCTATTCTTATTATTATTTACAGCTTATAAGAAAACCATTAGTACACACATACACATATATAAATATATATATATTTTTATTAAATCTAAAAAACTAGACAATAAAGTTATTTAATGCAGATTTATTGCACTTTGAAAACACTGTAGAATATTCAGTAATAAAGTAACGTAACATTTTTAGTAAAACCGATAACTTATAAATAAAAACATACCAAATGTGATTTTTTTCTGTAAAAAAAATAAAAAATAAATTTTTATTTGAAGATTGACCACATTATTTCAATAGTGAGGTTTCAAAATGTACCACTATTTGTTCTACTTGTTTTTTTTTCTTTGGATGTACATTTTAGAAAAGGAACTAGATTGTATTGCACCAGATCTGACTACAAATCATATCCCACTTCAATTATTCATGTTATCAACCATGGACGTGTAAATTGGAAAATAAAAGGTTTGACTATCCCTATTTGGCCATTAACTTAGCACATTTAATATTAATACGAATGACTTTTTTTTTTTGAAATCGTAAATAAGTGAAATGTTTGTCAAGTTTGATTTGAATGAGAACCAAAAGGGTTCAAATGCCATTTTTTTCAAAAACAAGTCTTTGATTATAAAATGTACTATCTTTGTTTATTTGAAAGAAATTATATTGAAATAACTAGCGAGATAAGAAAATATTGGAAGTTAAGTTTTAATTGTTGCTCATATACATTTTTTTTTAATCACATACCATTTTGACTGTCATTACTTTTTCTATTAATACTGAACATAATTGTTAACTTTTTGATGATTTTTTATAATTTAATATTATGCACTTAGTATATTATTTTTATTATAAAATTAATTACTGATAACTTATCTTTGAAAGATCATTAAATTATAAACACGGGTTTTGTTTAAATCGATAAACGTTTTTCTTAATTTCAGACTACTTTTAAGATAAGACAAATTTATTTTTGACACTTATTAACTAGAAAAGTACAATTTTTACTAGATAGTTACTTAAATTAAAATGTATAAAGACATAAATAACATACTCTTGTTTGCTCTTGTTACAAAATCATATAATTTAGTGTTATACATTATATTTTACTTGTTTCACTAAGAAGGTAGTGTTTCTATTTTAGTTAGATTTTGTACGATTATACTTTTGTAAGTTAAGTGAATTTTTTACATATTATATCCATGACGGTAGTCCAGATAAAATTGACCAAGTTCGAAAGTACAAATTATGTTATCTTGTTTACTTAATAACAAATTCGCAGTATTATTTGACGATTCTATTCATTTATAATTAAAAAAACCCTAGTTTTTGATTAAGGGGTTACAGACAGTTTTTCAACAATACTTTATGTCTTGTAATTATTACAGTTTGTTTTCAGTTATATAGAGTATTCATTTTTTTACCTGTAACTAATTTAATCGACTTTAATGATAAATCTTTAGAACTATTTATACAGAGTGATTCATTTATGGATGAGACACTCGTTCCTATTTAACAACATAATAATTAAAATTTAATTTTTTTCCAGAGCTCTATCTACTTTTAAAATTTTAGTGTTAACGTATATATATATATTTATTATATTTTAAAATTAAAAATCATTATTTGGAGTTAATTTGTATCTATTTTTAACTACTAATAGCTATTTTTATTATTATTTTATTTACTTACCTATATATTTCTACAAGCAACTTTGTAAATAGTACTCCATTTTCACCGATATGAGGTTTTTCTCAGTGGCGAAGTGGGCTATTATGCTAATTATAATTTATTATTTACTTATTTTCAAAATGTTATTCTCTGTTGACCAATAAAATGTATTATTATGAAAAAGGTACTAAAACGTTTAGTAAATTTATATATAAAGATAAAATAATATAAACAAAAATTATTTTTAAAAGAAGCACTAAAAAATGGCAAACATTTTAGAGATATATCGAGTGTCTTATCCTTAATGAATCACACCAACAAAGTGTGTTCAATGTGGAATATAATATTACGGTAATATTATATATGACATCTTTGAGATCTCCTCAGCCCATCGACAGAATGTCGACGGATATAAAAAAACAAAAACTATATACCGCTGACTAAGCTATGTATACACCGGTGTTGCAATGAAGGCCGAATTATAACTATTAATGATGTTTCAACAACGTTGGATTCGCTTCAAAAACTATAGTCCGTCACACATATCTATATCGCGTTTTTCACGGCATAACGCAACACGCAAGAAGCATAAAATATTTGTTTGGATTATGTACGTGAACAGAACAAATATTAATCATAGCAATAAAGCAATTTTCGAAAAAAAAAAAAAAAAAACAATATATATATAATATATGTATTATTGATTCGTGATGTGTCGTTATAAATATACCTACATCTTATTTGTATTGTGAAACGTTTTATGTATTTTTTTCTACTTCTTCTTCCATTTCCCATTTTTATATCGACCGCGCCGAATATACATAATACTTGTTAAGTAAATAAATAAAAAAAACCTCAAAGAAAAACGTTACCTAATATCCACTAAACGGATTTCCCCTATCGAACTACCGCAATCGATTTTATATACTACTAAACCTATATAGATGTATTATATTATACTATAAATATATTTTTATACCTGAACACAATGCTGTAAAGTCATAAACGTTTTGAAAGGTTATTTGTTAAAGGGAATTTGTTATTTTTTTTCTTGCGCCCCTTAATATGTTTTTTACCAAAATAAGATTTTTATATAAGAAAATAAAAAATATACTGATGTTTTGCCCTCCATTTAACCTGGGATAATATTTTTAGGACATTACAAATTTGATATTTTTATCACTGATAAAGCGAACAATTTTAATAATAACTCAACATTACCCAAAATAAAATAAATGACTAATTAGAATAATATATCTTATATACTTGTAATGAGAAAATAAACATACATTAATTAATAAACCAATTGCAAGTACAAAAGATGTCAAATACATCCCTCTTCGAGTGTCAAAGGCGAGAATAATACAATTGTTCACGACTAAATAATAAATGTACTGCTTCTATTTGTTTCAGGTACTCGGAATAATTGCGGTAATGGCAGTTCTAACCATATCTTTGGCGTCGGCTTATACAACACAGTGAGATATTAAATGTTTATTAATTCTTAGTAGCAATAAAATAAAAAATTAATAATAATAATTGATAAAATTGACTTGTAATTTTATAATTATTTTTTATTTTGTCCAATGTAATAAATGCGAATAACCGAATAATACAGGGTCGGTTAACTATGACCTAGTCTTAGAAGAGATTAGACTAGTTAATAACTGTATAGTGTGACAATGAAATCAAAAAAATCTAATATCTTCTAACATATCGACTAGATCAACTCGGGTAACCAATCACTCTGTGCATTAACCAATCTCTGTGTGTAAGTATGTTTAAATACAAAAAACTAAAAAAATATTATTTTGTTTTAGCGAGAAACACATCATACATGTACCGCTTTTCGTTCACTACATCCATCACCATCATAAACCGATCATCAAACACAAACCAAAAATAAAAAAATACAGATCTAAGAAAGTCGTACATCACTACCACAGCTATTGGTTTTGAATTCCTGCGACTACGAAATTCGGGCCGTTTCCATCCACCTTTATTATAATAATACTTATATTGAAATATTCATTAAGGACCAAAAAAAAACCCGCTAAGGAGACGTTAAAAATTTCCCTGTGTGTTTATCATAAAAATTAATATATAAATATAATGTACCTATTAAGCCCAAGTGTACAAACAACATAAAAAAACGGCATTATTACATATAAACTTGAAGATAATAACGCTAAAAAACATTTTTCTTTTAAAATAGCCAACGTTGTGTTCGACCGGTATAAGTATAATATATTACCACCTTTGGGAATATTACTTAACTTAGACTTAAGCTGCGAATTCCATTAATTTACAAAATACATTAGTTGATATTTTATACATTGCCTAAATTCCCAAAGTTAAGATTTTATTGTAATTTGTAATTCATGAATTTAACAGCTATTGTAGAAGTAGAAAATGTTTACCAAAAAAAATATAGGTATATATAATATTATAAAATAATAATTACTAAAGACTAAAATGTAAGCATCGTTTTTGTTGACCAAATGAAAAATGCCATTTTATTATTAGTAACCAACAAGTTACCTATGACAAAAGACTAAATAAAATAATCATCAAAACAACTGTCGTACTTAAACATTTAAACAAACCTTTTAATTTGTACAAACATCGTGTTGTTCCACTATTTGAAGATATATTTTCTTAATTCGGGTTTTTAATTTTTTTGGAACCTACCATTTCCGGAATCGACAATGTATACTTTGTAGTATTAAGTTACTTTGCAAATTGTATTTTTTTAAATAAAATTTTGTTTTATAGTAATGCGTTACATTTTTTACACAGATTATTGAATTAAGAATATTATTATATATTAATGCAAAAACAAACGTTTCCATGTATAAATATATATATATATATTGTAGATGCGTTACAACTACTTATTAAAAAATTACAACTATTACAATTTTACATAAAATTAATTTTGTATTGGATTATTTTTCTAAGCAATCTTCATATAATTGTTATAATTTGTATTGAAATGATACAATAATATTACAAATTATATAATAATTTATTGTAGTTTAACAGAATATTCTGTCAGTTGCGTAGAAAATAATTTTATTTAGATACCATAGAAATTCAATAATTTTCTACGAAAAACATAATTATCAAATATTTAATAGTAATATTAGAACATATTATAGTGTTATTATTAATTATTTATACATACATTATGATATCTCAAGTGTTAATCAAAAACTTTGTATTTGTTACAAACTAACTTTTAATACATAACTAAATAACGATTTTTATATCTATATGGTATATGTTTCAAACTAAGAAGAAACTATAGTTTTAATAGTGTTTTATATTGGATGTCTAGTCCATTAATATGTATGGAATCTGAATAGAATGCATCGTTTTAAAGGAGCCTTGACTTAGGTAATTTATTGATCTTCTCGTCTAAATTCGGATGACTTGAAAACATTTTGTTTCAGTCCTTACTGTTACCATAGATTAAATATTTAATCTATACTATTACGATTTACGCTACAATTTGGTTAAACAAAATGTTATCAAACTGTATAGTTTTATTTTTTTAAATACTAAGTGTATACGATAGAATAAACCATACAGTGCACAAAACGAGACTTATACAACATTTTATATTAAAAATGTAACAAGTAAATGTGAATAAAGTTTTATCATAAAATATTTAATATTCGTACGATATAACGAGAATTGCATACAAACGACAAGTTGTTTGTTAACTGATAAATAAGAATACGTTTATTTTTTTGAGTATAAACTAAAAAAAACTCATAAAATATAAAACACAAAATTCGTTCTGAAAATGTACAAACCGAATACACCTCGTTTTAGATAATATAATCGTTTGGATTTAATTGAACATTTTTCATTTTGATGGTATTTTGAAAATGTTTATTCTTAGAGGGACCAACAAATATATTACATATACAATAATATTATAATACTAATGTTATTGTTTTTAAGACATTTTAACATTGATGTGTTTTATGATTAGGGTTAGCTCGAAATTCGCGTAACGCACTTTTCAGTAAAATCTGTCCTATTGTTTAATTGTTTACTTGATTTGATTTCTAGTTCATTTTATTAATTTACTAGTTTACTCGATTAGTTTACTCTATTTGATTTATTTACACGTTTACTCGATTTTTTACTTAACTGTTAACTCAATGTATTTACTCATTCGCTCTATTTAATTATATAATTTCTTACTCGTTTACTCAGTTAATTTACTCAAAATATTTATTAGATTACTCCATTTTGTTTACTCGTTAACTCATACTGTTGCGTGTTGACCTATAGTACGCATATGAATGATTTTTTATGTTTTTTCCGCGAAGAAGAAGTTTTTTTAAATTTTTTATCTGACATCTATTGTCATATTGTCAGATAGACAATCAGACAGATTTAAATTGAAATAGCGTAAAAAGAAAATACATTGGCTAAGAGATATTCTCACATTCAAGAACTAAGAATAAATATATTATGATTGCAAAATACTTATAGAAGATGGACTAAACCCTTAGGGTAACAAACATAATAATTGTCTGTACATAGAATAACCTAGTTGAGAGTTCAAGAAGTTCAAATTACATAAATATATATATATATATATATGTGTGTGTGTGTGTGTGTGTGTGTAACTATAGCCCAATCAGAGTTAAATAATAATCTACTTTCGCTATTACTACTTTGTAGGAAACCTAAAATATGAAAATCGAAATTATCGTAATGTGTCAAACACGCGTGGAAAAAAAATAGAATATAGTAATTTAAGAATTAGTTTCTTATCTTAATCTCGTGTCAATATTATATCAAGCATTTATTCGTTTACCTAATAAGGAAAGTAACTAGGTACTTGACCACACACATTACAACACACAGTTTTCCATATCTTTGGAAAGGGCATATTATTATTATTACCCACAATATCCAACCGCGGTGTTCATCAATCATAACCGAAGAATAAATTGTAGAAATCACTAATTGCATCATTGAAAATATGCATCCCAGACGTCTAACAATCTCTGGAAACCAGTTTTCGCCTAAAAGAATATAGATTTTTTAAAAAAATAATAGTAATAATAACACAAAACATATTATAATATTACATGGATACAACGGCTGCGTTTTAATTTATATTTTGGAATTATATATTATATTTTTGTTGTCCGTGCTTAGACAAAGCAGTAGGCGATAGCCAATAACAACGTGCTGTAATCAGTCCTTAGGGCAAATTCGTATGTATAAAATTACTTCACTGTGGAGTCGGTGTCCTAGTTACAGGTCACGGTGTTCTTAAGCTCGAAGCGCCTAGGGCTTAAACATCACCGGTATCCTCTGAAAATGCAAATAAATAATGGGTAAAACGGTTTCAGTAAAAAAAAAACTTCAAGGAGAAAAAAATCTAAAATTACAAATCGCCGATAACCCAACAGCATCTCGTCTTAATTGATTTCATCTTTACACAATTTTCATGACTTGAGGTTACTCCCACTTGGATGTCTTGACTAGTTCGCCAACGTTTCATCTTATTAAATATGACTGTCCTCAACTTGAAATGTCTTCTTTGTAAATTTCAAAGATACTATGTGTGAATGAATCAGCAGTCAACAGGTATCTGATGGTAGTAGATATTTTTATTATAATTAGATAGACAGACGATCCTAATCGACCCTAATCGTGTCTACCCTAATATTAAAAATATAGCTTTTCCTCCACCATGGCCCCAACCCCACACAACCCCGACCACACTGTGGTGGTATTTTTCTCTAATGAAGCGTCTTATGGCTTTATTGTCCAGCGAATGCCTTGATTTTACAACAGCATATGAGTGTATGTATAGGATAAATATGGCTTAAGGTCTGAATATAAAATAAGAATGAAAGTAAATCTAGAGTAGAACTATAACGTAAAAGATTTGCTCAATTTACTCAAACTTTTTTTTTATTAAATAAAAACCAAACGAATAAGGGACAAATTGCACTCGTTTTTAAGTTGCTAGATCATGCGAGGGAACCAACAATCAAAAGGTGTCTGATGACTACAGGTATTTTCAATATTTTGTCTTTTCAAATTATCGATGTTCTCATTTAATTGCTGTCCAACTTTGACTAGCATCGTATTTGCTTTTAAACACTTCAAATCAATTAATAATGTACAATTACTATAAGGTATATCAGTTGGCTACTGTTAAGAAAAAACTAAAAACTGTTGTTACTTAAGTTGTGGTATTTCCTCTCTTATAAACCCAATAAATAACATCATACACACCTAATAATAAAAAATATATGGTTTTACAACGAAATTGTTTTAAGGCGTAAATGTAAAATATAGTTTTAAAAATAGTTATCTTAAATTATCATTAAAAAGCACCACATGAAGGGTTTCCACATCTACATAATATGCCCTTGGCTAAGAGTAAATATTACTTTAAGTGCTTATTTATATATAATTTAGTGTAATATTAAAATGAACACATATTAACAATATCAGTTCATATTATAACATGCATAAGAGCTTGGGAAGTGTTAAGTAGGATTATAGTCAAAGTCAGATTTGATTATATAGCCAACCAAATTCGATTGGACTAATAACGATGTCATTTAAATCCAACTTTGAGGCATTGAAAAAAAACTGATTCCGTAACAAAGTACTACCAATAAAAAATCTAAATCAAACCAGTTATCGAGAGAAGGTTTCATGCGATAAAATCACTTTTGCTCTGTAGTAATATATTATTATTACCATTAATACATAATGGTATACATAATAAACTACGGCGGCGCAGTGCTATTATGAGGCCTACCTAATAATTACATGGATGTGAATGTAGTATTCAAACAAATAATAATGGATTTTCGAATATTTATTTTATTTTTTGGATAGGTATACATTGAAGTTACACCATAATATGATGACCATTGAACCTTGTAACTTGTTACACTACATCCGATACGTACTTAGCGATAGTTATCGCTAAGTACATATAATTAATTGCACGTTTCCAGGCATGATTTGAAAATACCATATGATTAACATCGCCTAATAAGAGAGTAGATTATACTCACCGATTTTGATTCTGAACGACTTCGCGACAGAGCAAATGTGTATATCCGGTAGATAATCCTTATTAAGAATAAGACAATAATTGCAATTTTGTAGATTTTATTTTTGAAAACATTTTTGTTTATATTATTTTAAAACATTAGTCAATATTCAAATTGTTATATTTTTTTATATTTTTCCAAATTTCAAATTAAAAATAAAACTTTTTAAATTAACAATAACTTGCTAAAAATGTTGACTGGTCCGTAACACCCGTTTTTAATAATTACTTTTAAAGTTACGAAAGTTTAAAAGTAATTAATCAAAATTGTTTATTATCTAGTTTAATTTTTCAAAAAATTATTCCTGATTTAAAATAGTCAATTAGTAATGTTTTATTTTTAAATTTGTAATATTTTTACAAAATATATCATTATGTGAAATATTACATTTTTTACATAAAGTCAAATTTGAAAATAAAAATTATATTGTAGTAGAAAAGGTTTCCACAACAAATAAAATATTATAAGCATTTTTACCCCAAAAAACTTAATTTGTACATTATTAGTTTAAATATGTTTAGTACATAGTTAAACGCCGTTCAATAGAGGACAAAGGTTAAATTTTCCAAAGATTTTAGATATAATAATAGTTACTCAACGATCAGTTTGGCCATGTTAAACGTAATAACGATAAAACCCAAAATGTATGAGATTTTTACTCATACATTCTCTCAAATTTCTCTAGCGTGTTATTTATTTATTATTATTGTATACGGGCGTGGCCCTTTTTACATATATATATATATATATATATATATATATATACATGCATATTTGTACATTAGTGAAGTAAACATTAAACAACAGTGTTATAGCCTAGATCGTCACTAAGTTGAAAAAAAAAAGTAAAAGTTTAATAAAATTAACATTAATTTTAAGAATAAATCTGAATTTAGATATACAACAACATATTCTGATTAGCTAATGATATCCAAAAAACTTAAGTATTTTGGTTTTGTTCCCAAAAAAAAAACAACGTATAATGTTTAATCTTAAGTTAAACGATTTTGTAACATAGGCGATTGGTGCAGCAGTAACGGTGTTGTCAGTTAAGACTTCAGTATTTTTTTTCATTAGTGGTACCTCATTTGAGTACATTTAAAATTTTTAGCTGCTTAGATCTGCACACCACGTCGTTTTTGAACTTCTGTATGAGGTTCCTGGCAATGAACGACACCCGTTTGTTGGGGTTGCTGATGAGTTAAGCATGAAAAAATGTGTAGTGCAACGTTGCTATTTCGGTAGATAATTGTGTTTATTTTTGAGCCAGGGAAGAAAAATTATTGAACTTAGGAAATTTTGCTCGGTCTCGTTGATTTTTCAACGTCTGGCGCCAATCGCCTTTGTCAAATAGATGTACATGTCTTTACACGCAACAAGCCTTTGCTTATTATATAATACACCGTTTTCAATATAATAGGAATAACGTTGAAAGACACGAGCACAAATCCTATCTGAACTGTGTTATATCACGCCACTACTGTCGATACGATCAATATAATGTTGCACACTGAAACGAGGAGACGCTTATTACACTTAAACAACTGGGAGTGAAACATTAGATAAAGTTCAATGACCCAAAGACGATGCGGAAAGGGGTCTTGATGGGTCGAACGTCGTGGAAAAGATTTTCAACAATTATGTCGTTCCAAATCGGCTCTGATCAATTCACAATACATGAATAAGTAAAAATATGCAGTGTTCGGTAAGAACGATTTAATAGCAATGCATTCATTGAATTTCGTTCATTTTTAGAGAAATACATTCATGAATGCATTGCTTTTATGTCGGAATGTGAATACAAATGAATGGAATTCGAAAAAAAAATATTTCCAGTTTAATAACAATAATCAGTTGTAATCATAGTCTTAACCAACATTTGAGTGGCTTCAACATACTGGTTAGTCAGTGGTCACCTCTATTGAGCACAAGAGTAAATGTTAAACATGATTTTTTTTTTTGGAATGCACTTGTAATTTTGCTTCCCATTTTTTATTAATGTGAGTGTGATGTATTTATTATGAAAATAATGAATGCATTACTTTTCAATAAGAATTTTCCAAACACTGAAAATATGTCAATCTGTTGACATTCAACAAATGACGGTATAACATCTGCAATAAATCCTCATAAACCATGAAGGACTACCTATAAACGCTAACAGACAAAAATGATTTCATAACCCCTATCCACCAGAAGGCATGGAAACATTTTTCCCATTTGATCTTTTTATGTAGTTTTATGACTTAGGTCTAAAAATTCGACTAAGGGTACATCTAGTAGGGCTATAGCCTATATTGTAAACCATTTTCTTAAAAATCTATAGTCAAAACTTTAATTACAAATTTAATGAACCTTTTAAATTAAGGATAATTTTCTAATTCAAAATTAAATTTTTTTTAATAACAATGGAAAATTGGTTATTGGCCGGTCAAAGTTTTTAGCAAATGATTCTTAATTAAAAAAGTTAATTTAATATATACGTTATCGTTTAAGTTCTAAAAGTAAGTAGAGCTTTGCAAAATAATTAAGATATAATTTTTAATATTATCAACTTTGTAAATAAAAAGCATAAACTAAAGTGTCTCTAAAAAAAAAAAACATTAAAGTCACATAGAAAATATTTTTTTTAGCATTTTCAATAGAGGGGTACTTAAGTTGTGTCCCACAACTTATCAACATCCCAATTATTATAATAAGTTTTTTTAAGTATAATTTTAAGATTTTAGTCATTGTTAAAATATTAAAAAAACAAAATTTCTATCCCTTCGTAAGTTGACAATGTGATTTTTTATTGTTAGTCTGAATGTTAGGCCACAATGAGCTGATTTTACCAAGCTAAGTACAGTCTATAGATCAAACGTTGTACACCATAAGTGGAATTTGATGTCTTATTTTTTTTACGCAGTTTTTAGATTTTGAGTACAATAATTAAACTAAAGGTAAAATTATCGGCGGCGGTTTAGTGCTATAATTATAAGCCACAGCATTCTTGTTTTCAATTCGAAAGTAAATAGCTTCTGAAATCTCGAACGATTACAATTCCCGTTGCGTGCATAATACAACTAATAATTATAATAATAATTTCCTATTGATAAAACTATGGTAAATATTGTTGCAATACTTGTTGCACGTGTATTGTATAACATAAAATGCACGTATGTGAACCGTTTAAATTCGCATAAAAACTCCCAAAGTAGGTTTTCCTAACCGGCAATCAAAATCTGTCTGGCAGTTGCAAATACACCTAAAGGGGCGTGTTTTATAATCTACATTATATTCCAAGTGCCAACAAACCAGATTGGTGGGTTTTCGTTGCTATCAAGTTTTGATGGTCATTCCCAATGATAATTGGTTCCCTTAAGTGTCTACTTATATTTTCGGTCATTGCAAATCTAACAAAACCAATACCGTTGAAGCTAAAAAATGGTGACCTGTGTTGAAAAAACAAACACACCAGTCGAACTCTGTCATTAATCTTGAGTAAAATACAATAAAGTTAGAAGTAAGCCATTTACTAACATAATATTATCTAATATAATAATGCGAAATTTTCAAAAACCAGAAACAAATCGCTGTATTTGAAAAAAAAACAAGCAATACCTACAATATAAATTTCATAATGCTCGTTTTTCTGTATTTTATTATTATTTATTTCAACTGAACTCAAAAAAGGTAACATAATATAAACAATGGGTAGGTACCTAGATAATGTAACGACGGCACTTGCCTGACATCACGCACTGCACCGTAACAATAATATAATACAAATTAATTGATTATCCTCTCTTTAAGCAAGCTTGTGTTGAGATTTGAAATAAACATTTTTTTTTAAACTCATTGCTAAATAATTAATTAATAATGTATTCATATTTAAAAATATTACTGGATGGATTACACTGCATCATACGTTCATGCTTGTTCTTCGGTCAGGCCAAGATATATATTTTATATGCGAGCGATAAGTTGCAAACTGTGTAAAACAATATTATTTAAGAAATCCTAGAATAATATTATATTATGCTTCTGGGTACTTGTTTTTTTTTATTATGGTCACTTGATATCATCTCATTTACCTACATTCACTTTTTAACAGAACACAATATTATATTATTATAATATATGGATGTTTGTAATAGTTGACCAACTTTTTACCGGGCCATTCATTCAATTAGTGTTATTTAGATTGTTAATTAATACCAAAGAAAATAATAATAACAAACAATTAATTATACTTAAAGAAAAAAAAACCCGACCCCGTTGTCATGGATTTTATTTTATTTGTCATAATCTGTAAACAATTTTATGTTACTTCAAAAAAAATTCACCACGTAGGTCGCTAATCACAATTCCAATTCCAATATTCTTTTATTCGTTTGGTCTAACCCTTCCTTGGTTACGTTTGCAATATCAATGAAGATACAATACAATCTATATTATCATAAAAATTCGTGAGATTTTAAGTTAGCGGTAGAAAAGTAGATTGTAGACGCATGTTATATTGTATTTAGCAAGTTTATGAGTAACATATTAGAGATTACTTATTGGGTGATCAAAGCATCGGATACTAAACTGATACTAAATGCAAAATAGATAATCACCACATTAATACTAAATTGTACTTGGATAACAAAGCCTCCTCAAGTCAATCTTTGTGATATATTAAATCAAGCAAACGAGAAAGAAGTCGAACGTATTGTATTGTTTATTTTTGTTTTGTAAATAAATCGAGTAAATGACGCGTAAACAAATGTAATGAACGTGTAAATAAATCTAACAGACGAGTAAATGATTAAATAAATAGAGATTATTGTATTTTTTAATTTTTTCAAGCAAAAAAAATTATTTGAGTGAACGAGTAAACGATTAAACAAATCGATATTATGGATTATTTTTTGTTTTACCTACAAGAAACGAGTGAGTAAATTTAATAAACGAGTGAATAAATCGAGTAAACGAGTAAATATATCTAGTGAACAAACCGAGTTTCGCATTTGGTAGCGTGAGTAGTATAATGCTACTAGCGTGTCACAAAAAATCAAACAAGTTTCCTTGGTTGGCCCCAGCCTAAAAACATTATCATGTTAAGACCTATCCGTAACGGGAAAAATGATCCCCTGTTGCATTAAGTTCGAACCAAAGGTGTGTAGGTAGATATACCTACTCGCCGGGTCGGTAAGCCGTTTAAAGTACACAAGACGGCTCTTGTTTCACTAACGCTTATGCCGATACGGTCGGCGTCTCCCCGTGGCTGATGTACCTACTCGCTCACAACGCAACGCCTATACATATAAAATACATAACCAGCTGGAACCTTATACATTATTCGACGCATGATCTTGTTTGCCATTGCCGAGACATTATAGTAATATTATTATTATGGTCTATGTGGTGTGTTTGTATAAGAAAGTAATGGCTAGTAGTCGAGTTGCATAACGTGCTTATGGTGGGCTCATACGCCGGACATCGCGGGTCAACCCTTCCAGCCGATTACCTGAACTTCTCAAGTCCCACCCGTTGATATGTTTCTGAATAGTGGAATATTCTGCAAACCGTATATAAGTATAGGCGCTCAACACTAGTGACAACTCGTTACTCGTTGGTCAGTAATCGTGATCGAGAACCAAATATAACATAATACCAGCTGTCCAGAATAAAAGCTGTTTGAAAATGAAGACCTCCGTATCCGTAAGTATAATTGTTTTTTTTTTTTTACGATATTATAGACATTTGACAATGTTTTTAAGCCAACGATAAAACACGTGAGTTTTTTGCGAACTTAATGAGTAACTGTTGCTTTTTTTACAAGATAAAAGAAATCATAAACGAGTATTTAAACCATAAAGTGGAATTAACTCTTTTTGAAATTGAAAAGAAATCACTAATTTATGGTTAGGTGCAGTAATTTCATATTAATATAAATTGTAAATTAACAATTTTTAAATTATATATTTAACACATCAACTTAATTTTTGTTAACTATTTGACTAATTTGAGTCAAAAATTGTTTTTATGGTATAATTTTTCATTACAAATGGTTAAAACAATTTATAAAGTTTATCATAACCGTTCGACTTTTCCTTTGATAAAATATCACAATAATCTTAATAATATCATAATCCTTAGTCTTAAAAAAACTAATACTTGATAGATTAGCTCTATCGACTTGTTTATAATTAATTTATCAATTTTGTTTTTTAGGCTGTAATTTTCTTGGCTCTTCTCTCAGTCACCGCAGCAGCTCCTTCTTTCGGATGGGGTAAACAGTAAGTACAAATTGTGTTTGTTTTTTATCAAGTACCTACTTTTAAAATGTTCATTTAAGTATTTAAAATACATAACACACATTTTTGTAATTAATCGTTCTCATTTTGGGTATTATTCAATTAAACCTGTACTTCTCAATGTATAAGTGATCAAAAAAAAAATTTCTAGTCGAAAGACTCAAATAGTCTCAAATTAAAAAAAAAAATTCAGTTTAAATAAAATTAGGTTGTAATTATTATATTTATACGAAAATAGCATGTCTTCTTAAAATTTCAATCCTATGGTTAACACTTAAAATTAAATTGTTAATTTTTTTCAAAATTAGATGTACAAGTGACATTTTTTTGTCAGTCATGGTAAAATATTTGTCTTTGAGATATTTTCTATTTTGATATTTTTATTATATCATACTTTTCATCAATTTTGAAAAGAAACCCCAAAAACATGCTAATGTTTTCAAAACCATTAACTACCATTTACAGATTGTCATCGAAGCGTATATTTGAAAGGGGTTTTAATAAATGGCAGTCACAACAATTCCTGTAGACCTGTGGACTTCACAAAGCCTAATAGGCTTCGTCCCCAGTATGCCTCTACCTCGCTGCATTGGCTTTTTTCTTATAAACTCAACATTAAATAACATAATAAACACATACATATGAGAATACTTAATATTAAAAAACTAATGTAATATAATGTATGATTTTACGACGGAATCTAGGTGTAAACTGTAATTTTTAAAACGATTATACTATTTTTCAGCGAACACTATGTAATTCACGTGCCATACTACGTGCACAAAGAGCCCGTTTACATCAAGAAGCCCGTGTACATCGAAAAACCCGTTTACATCAAGTCCTACGATCATTACCATCACGACGATCATTACGACCATCATCACGACCATCATCATTACGACAGCCACTGGTACTGAGTTCAGTAACCCCGTTTGATAAGTCTACATTTTCCCCCCTATATGTATAACAATGTAATTATTGTAAAGTGTTAATAGCTACCTATAATTCCTTGTTAATCTGTTTTGTTTTTCGCTGTGAAATACTCTAAGCTACGACTTATAAATATTAGAATTATAATACATCAACCGCACTGTTTATTTCTAAACGATTACTAAATTGTTTTTATTTATTTATTTTGCTCAACGCACAGTAGTCAGAAACAAAATAATGTGCAAAAGTGGACAAAATTCATTTGTCAATTTGAATAATTGACCGTGTTTACTGAATGTTAATTCTGACACCATTAATGATTAACATACCAAAATTGAGGTTTGTACGACGGATATACAGAGTGATACATTTTACGTAAGACACTCGTTTTATTTTAAAACATTTGCTAGTTTGTTGACAATTTCTTTTTGTAGACGTTTTACAGACATAAAAATAATTATGTTTATCTGTATTTGAATCGTTAATATTATAAAGCCGTTAAAAAATGATCACTCAATGAAAATAAACAAATCATACGCAAGTCGCAAGTCTAATTCATATGTCAGTAAACGACAAATGGACCTTAAAATACCTAGGAGAGCTATAAATTTGAACTACACGCCCAACGAGTAGAAATTCAAAATTATATTCCACATATTTTTGGTTTTACTCATTTTTACACCAGTTTTTTTAACATTTTTTATATTTACAACATATTTTGCATTTCTTTAATTTTTTTTTTTACAAAAAAACAAATTAATATTATTAGACGAAAAATAATGAAATAAAAGTGGAATTTTTTTTGTAAATAATTGTTTTTGTTGGTTTTTTTAAAAGAAATAGGTTTAATTATTTTTCATAATTTATAATAAGGGTTAAGTGTAAATAAACGTTTTTTTTTATTAAAAAAACTACCTAAATTTAGTACCTGTGTCTAAAGAATATTCCATTCAAATATGGAACTAATGTGTAATGCGACTATTTTCTGAAAAAAACTATCACACTCGTGCCGTATTAAATTTCCAGGTGTAATTTTATGCCTTAAGGTCAGACAAATCAGACGGAGAGTAGATCATATATAGTGAGAAAATCGAGTATCTGATGACAACAAGTATTTTCATTAAACATTGTTGATTGCGATATTTTATGGACAATAACGGCAACACATCATAATGTGCACATCTACCGTCGAATCCGTTCACTTGGAAATGGTTTTCAACCAGAATTTCGAGCCAAAATGGATATAAGTACTATGCCATTTATATATTACACATGATATGACATATACCTACGCTATTTTTGTCTTTCCTTCTGTAAGTTGTTACTTGTTGTAGTCTGTATAGTGTATACCATCATCGTGTACACCTATACTTGTACTCAAACGGTTTAGTTTATCCAACGTCAATATTATGATTAATAACAATCTGTATTAACATGCGTGCGATAGAGAGTGCGGAACCAACGAATGTACAAACAGTGTTGCCTCTCAAAACGCACTCATAATAAGTTAATAATATGTGTACTTATGCGATGCATCAAGTTACCTGTTACATATTATTATTATATTATACTTTCTCAGTCGCTGCGTGTTAATCTACAGTGTTTTTTTTTTCTAATGAGCCGAAAACAACAAAAACGTGAAACGTGATGGTTTAAACGGTTATGCGAATAATTACTCAAACTACCAAAGTATAAAGTAACCGACAGTCGTTAATATTATATTATATACATAATGTATTAAACATTTATATACTCGCATACGACTCTCGCATGACACACTCTTTGATACCTCAAAAACGTCCAGAGGCGGATATAGGAATGAAATAAGGGGAGGGCTGGAAAAAAAATTCACTTCAAATACATATAAGGCGATAATCATAGAGTTAACGATTATATAGTAAAAATAATACATATTCTAATACATGATAGATTTTATTTATAATATTATAATATAAAAAATCCTGACAGATTTCAGATATGTCTGATCAATCAATGTGGTTTATTTGTGTCATTAATTTAAATAAAAACGTTAATCATTAGGGCTGGACGATATTTTAAAAACTATAATATACTCGCTTCCAATAATAATTCCTAATAATTAATTGATTTATTTATTGTACAATCACTACAATTCCTAAATAATAGATATTCATTATATATTATATTATACTATTGTTTCCGTATTTTAAAACAAGTGAACATTTCTTTATACTCGATCAATTACGTTCTAAAATTATTATTCAAAATTTCACCTTTTATTTAAAACAAAAATATACAAAATGTTATAGACATTTAATAGGTTTTTTTTTATACTCAATCCTATTCTGACAAGGGATTTTTCTTTAGCACTAGTTTCCTATAAATCGCCTCTACACTAGTAAACAACTAAAAAAATTGTTAAAAATTGTTTTTTGCTAAAAGAAATCTAGAGGCCACGTTCGGACCAGAAAAAAATCCAACACATCTTGTTTTTGTTCCAAAAAAAAAGTTCTAATTTGTTTTATATTGTTATTCACAAACATAAATACAACGCAAACCGTTAATTAATGTACTTTACCAACATTATATCAATCATTTTCTAGTTTGTTAGTTTTTTATTTTATTTTTATGTGACCGATTTTGTTCTTTGCCTTACCTAGTGTGGTACAACGAAATACTCTCATTCCACATTCTAGTTTCAGGTACTTCGCATTCTATATTTAAAAATGTCTTTTAAATATATATTTAAACAAAAAAATTAAACTCACCTCTTAGTTTTGCAACATAAATCCAATTTATGATCATTAAAATGGACAATATAATAATAACAGTTTATAAAATTGTTTTTTGCTATATAAATATATATATATATTTCATTTTAAATATAAATATACGATTCTTTCAATTATTTATCAAATAAAAAATAAATAAAAATGATTAAATAAAAATAATAAATAATTAAATATAAATGCCAACCGTTAAGTTGTTTAACAAAGAATATATAAACAAATTTTTTATAAACAGACATTTAGTATTCGCCGACATGAAAAGCTTTACCACTTACTGTGTTTAGTTTTATAGTACCAAAACATTTAGTACCGGCAAGTTGAAAAAAAAAACACAGTTACATGAGAGTATACATAATATTTTGATCGATTACTATTATCAAATTTGATAATTGGATTTAATTTCGTCAATTAAATTATCAATCAACTGCTGGGACGTGCATTTCGCCTCGACAGACACATTATTGACATTGGATTTGACCAACAGACATAGTTGTTCGTTGGATACGGTCGAGCTATAGAGCGATGCAGTTTCTCCAACACGTTCGACAAGCACGAGATGAAGCTTTGTAGAAAACCAATTGATAACCTGATTGAAATTGGTACCGGACAACACGACAGATGACTTGAAAATCAACTGACCGTTGCACAACAATTCCACTAAAGGTACACTAGGAGGTGCTTTGAGGAACATATCGTAAACGGCCACCCTCAATCGCCAGTCCAGCTTGTCTTGATGGAAGCTTTCTTCTTGGAACATCTAAAAAAAAAATATATATATAACTTATAATTAAAATCGAAATATGACATTTATTTATTTTAAAATTTACGTACTTGAGCCATGTACGTGAGCGTTCCTCTAAGTATGTTAGGCACGGTTATATTTTCAACCCGCAATGACAAATCAAACTCAACAGATGAACTTGTTTGTACGCTACTCGACAGTTTATACGACGACAATGTTTTGTTTTTCTAAAAATTTGATAATAAATTAGAAAAATATAAGTCAACAAACACATTAATTGCCTTTATCAAAAACAAATAATACTGACTTGATCGATAAATTGAATAGCGGTAGAATTATTAACATCTAATTCAATGTTTTTAATCAAACAATTGTTACTCAAATTTGTAATACGGAACAATACAGTAGCCAAATTTCCCAATTCACTCTTTGGATCTATTTTATACTCCTAAGTAAAAAAAAAATAATATCAATCAACACTAGTTGTACACCAACCTAGGCAATATTTTGTTTCTATTTTATATAAATAATATTTGTTATATACAAATAATTATTTGAAAATAATGAGTTAAATGATATTTACTGTTTGAAATATTTATAATTTAAAATAATGTTTTATTTAAACACATTTCTACTTTACTGTTTTAAATAAACTGTTTTACCTAATATTTTTTTTTATGTGAATTATAATTTCCAGTGTATTGGAATAAAAAAATTATTTATTGTTTGTTTTTTTTTTTTTTTATATATATATATAAAAGCTTATTAAATAATACCTAGGTTTGATTGTACATTTTTAAATTCGATTATAATTTTATACTAATCAGTGAAATTTACCAAAACTAAGTATTTATCCATAGCCAATTTATTAAACGACAAATCTTCAGCTTGAACAATTTCTTTAGATGGAGTGCAAATACCCAATGCTTCTTCATAACCTTGTTTGATTTCGATTAATTGTTGATCATCATTAATGACTTTTTTTGATTTTTTTGATTTCTCGCTTTTCTTTTTTTTATCTTTTTTCTTTTTTTTTATCTTTTTTTCTTCAACGGGCGGGGGCGGCTCTTCAATTTCGACAGGAACGTCCAAGTCAATGTCTAGAGCTGCATGCGGATCATTTTCATCTTTTGTCGTCTCTAATGCCCCATCCGAATCTTCAGCTCCTTCAGGCATCTCACCAATATCTCTATTTACTACCATTTCGATGGCAGGCGTATCATCGTCTTCTTCTTCGACTTCTTTTCTTCTTTTTTTCGACTTTTTCTTATCTTTTTTCAATTTTTTTGCTTTCAAATACTTATCAGACGAAATGAAACCAGATACATTTAACGGGGTTGGAAGATCTATAGTTGCAATGGGAATGTCACAAGTCTGATCATTGGTTGAATTTAGTTTTAAATAATTTGGGTTGTTTTCTTGTTCTTGAAGACGAGCTTTTCTAGTCTGTAAAAGATAAATATGCATTAATTTGTTTACAAAAACTTTTCTATTTAAACCAGTTTTAATGGTTTCGTTGCCTTTGGATATAGTACGGTTTGGGTAATAAGTTATTCTTCATACCTGTTCTGCGTTTTCTACAGTCTTATTAGTGTATTCTTCATCATCTTTTTTATCGAAGCTGCTCAAATTAAAGAAATTGGAATGATCATCTTGGTTACTGTATTGGTTGTCGTCTTCACTATCCGAAGAACTCTGCAAAGGCTCATTAATCCATTGGTCCAAATCCAACCTACATAAGTATGTAAGTTTCAAGTTATAATTTTTCTTTAAGAAGTAATAATTACATTGACTACCTACCCTTCTGGGACTTGCACTTTGCGCTGGGCTTTAGGCGCGACTGGATTAAGTTCACCACTAAACAACGAAACCACTTGGGCGCATATGTCATCACTGTCACTGCTGTCTAATTCCTTATGAATGAAACTTATCAGTTGTAACGCAACACTGGCTCGCTCTTGGACTTCTAGATCACCACTCGAAACGTATTGCGCCAATTTATCTGACACTCTTTTGCAAACCTAAACCATTAAAAAAAAAAAATTTATATATAGTTATTTGGTTTTTTGAACTAATTTAAAACATATCACATACACACCTTGATGGACTGTTGTTTGTCACCTCTGGACAATATAACGGACAACACTTTCATTATGTTTTGCACGTAAGCCGCCTGAATGTGACCAGGCAATGAATGTACTTTGCTGTGTAGCATTGAAAATAATGTCTCTTCTGGTTTTTCCAACTCACTAAAAAAAAAGGGAAAAAATATATATATTTTTTTTTTAATTATATTTTAACTGAACACCACTTACTTGGCATATTCTCCACATATCCACGCTGCGGCATATAAGACATTAGTCATGTTTGATCCGCCAGATGGTTGCATAAACATATGAGCGTTGTTTAAAAGTAGCGACATTTGGCTGACGGCGAATGGCCTGATAGCTTTGACTCGAACAGCGACATCCAACATCTGATCTGCCAAAAGCGGGCCATGTTTCATACCTTCTACTCTAGCTAATTCCACCAAAACACTGACGTACCTAAAAAAACAAAAAAAACTCAAGCAAATGATTACAATTAAATATTTAAGCATTTTAGTTTGAACTCACCATTCAAAATTTGTTATAAAATGATAGTTGTCTTGCGAGCAAATATCAATGATTTTAACAAGCAATTCATCTCGATACACGGTGCCCTCGGCTTTGTCCATGTGCACCATCAGTTTTTTTACTATTTCCATTAAGTTTTTTTTGGAAACCTACAAGAGCATTTTTTTTAAAACCCGTAGCTATTTTATATAAAAAAAAAAAAAATTCACATACCATTCCGTAGAGTAGGTCTAGTGCACGAAGTCTAATTGATTCATCTTTATCATCCAAACAAACCATAATTAAATCTTTATGCGATTGAACAGATTTGGGATGAGTTTTCAATATTTTAGACATGGCCAATAAACCCAAATATTTCACTGGAATCAAACGAAATATATAAATTAAAAATATAAAATACAATTTGTCTTTTCAAGTTACACTTACAATTTTGGTCGGAATCTTCAATTAATATTCTCAATTTTTGGACGCATAACTGAAATGAACAAAAAAATATTGCAATAAAACACCAAATTAAAAAGTTTTAAGTATTGAACATATGATCATATGATTTTCTACTCAAATTTAGAAACATTCAGTTCCAATTTATTTGTCAATTAATTTAATCTAATGCTAATTAAGTAGCATCTTACTTGTATGGAAGCACTGTGATTTGGCATACCGGAAGATATGGATATAAGCACTGTAAAATGCACATAAATAAATAACAATAAATAACAAAGACTAAATAGACAAAGCTAATTCAAAAATTTTTTTTTGTTTGATAATATATTTGTTTTTTTAACTTACCAGCAATTACAGTATTAATGCATTCGTATAACAAAGACATTGCCGAAGTACTAAAACAAAATATACATATGTTATTTTAAAAATATATCAATTGAAGTTCAAATAAGCAATTATTTGGAACAATACCCAGTTTCTATACTTTAAAGGTAATATTAATCTATAAGGATAACTATGTATACACCATTACTATTTTTAAAGTGATAAGAACACTATTTTAGTATAGTTTTTTATTTCTAAAACTTTTTTTAATTAGTCATTTTAAAGGCTCCATTTTGATTCTCTTTTGCCGCCTAGTTTATAAATTACATTGTGTAATTTTTTTTTTAAACATTTTAAAGATATTTTATAGTTTTAAAGTTTTGACATTTTATAAATATATAAAAAAACCATATTATAGACTGTTTTAGGTACACATAATATTGTCCAATTACAAAATGGGATGGTTTATAGCCGACCAATAGTTTGAGAAAAAAAAATTATAAAAAATTTAACAAGTGTAGTGTCCCCTTATAATAATTTTTAGCCATTTCATAAAGCGAAAACAAACAGTTTTTTTTTATGAAATTAACAATTTCACTCAACGGAAATGACATATTATTACAAATTATAAAATTACATACAAATCAACTTTTTTTTTTTAATTGTTATGCAAATACAAAGTTATTATTAATAACACCGCTAGTAATAATTCTAACTATCTATAAGTTGTAACAAAGGACATTTTACAGATAATTATGTAGACTAATGTAACTATATATAATGAATAATACTAAAAAAATTAAAGATTATTAAGAGGATGTTTTGTTGTTACTAAGGTTTTGAACATAAGTGCTGACCCTAAACTTTGATAATTTTTGCATTAGCTACTATATAGTATAGCACATAAAGCGATACATGTATAATTTATAATGCCCGCAAACATATTACCATCTCCAAAATTGAGAAGTATCTCTTACACAACGTCCATCGATTTTAGAAATATTTGTTTGATTTGAATTGTTTTTAGTAAATTTATTATCAGTCCTAAGCCTACAAACATAATAAATAGTATGTCATCAAACGATTAAAAAAAAATTCCTACATTTTATAATCAAAAAAAAAAAATGAAAAGAAATTGAAGCCAACAAAATTACAAACTATTAATTATTATTTTTCAACGTCGAACATTGTTTTAGTATATTTTAAATATTCAATTTGAATTGAGTCTTGAATTATTTAAATCCTCTCTGCCTATTTTGTACCAAAATACGCAAAACACAATTTACAAATTTTTATTTTTAATAATTGCTTAAATAGAAACAAATGTAGGTAATTTATATACATATTTATATTTTTTTAATCAAATATTTTATTTATTACTGAAGGTTTTAGCTTTATGTTGTTAGTTTGTGTAGGGTCACTACAATTTTTGTTTTAGTACTTTATTGTTACGCCTTACCTGTGTATGAGATTAGTAAGTGGTTCTATAAGTTTTTTTCCAAGACGTGGTTCCAGTGGAGTCAACGCACCAAACTAAAAATAATTCCAATAGATTCAATTTCAGTGTATTGAAAAAATATTTATAAATATTAAATATTAATAAAGACATAAAATATTTGAAAAAACTTCCTACAACAATAGTATATGCAAGTGTATTATTTTTTGTATTTAGGGTTTTTTTATAAATATTTTATTTCTTTACTATACATAACCACAAGTGTTACTTAAGTTTTTCTAGATGAAATATTAATTTTAATTACCAATTTTATTATTTTTATCAACATCCAATTGTTGGTAGATGATGTCATTAGTTTGAAAAAAACTGGCGCTAAGCTCAAATAGTTTTTAGGATTTTTCCTAGCTAATTCACAAACAACATTGACGGCGGCCGATTGAACACCACAGTCCATATCTTCTAATTTATCTTTAAGACGAGGAAATGCTGGACGCAATGCTTCCGGAAAACGAAGAAATACTTTGTACATCATGAGCACAGCCTTTTTTCTGAGATATGGCTTTGTCGAAGACAGCTGTGTACCAAACGAGATATAAAAATACAATAATTATTATTGTTATTCTTCAAAAGTAGTTTTTAAGTATAATAACAAACCAATGTCATGATGTCATTGGCCAAGTCTCTTGCCAGATCAGGACTTATGAAACATGCCAATGCGGAAAGGGCAACACCAGCATCATATTGATTTTGACTGTTCAAATCTTTACGTATCATATTTGTCGTCAACATTAACAACTAAAATTTTAAAAAATGTTATTGATTAATTTCATTCATTAAATTTACGCTCCTTACAAAAAAAAACATCACATTTCATCGGTCAATGTGTTAAAATGTGCCTTTTTTTTGTACAGTGCGCTTAGACGATAAAGTAAAATTTTAATTACGTACATCTGTATCACTATGGAAGCTCTGCGATGACGCTAAATACCCAATTCTTTTGTATGTAAACTTTGACGAACTCATCACTTCAATAACGTTGAAACCGGCCCAGCTGATATCGTAGCCCAACATTTGTAGCTGCGAATAAAACAAATTATGATAAATCTATAAAACTTTGATCTAATTTTAGCTTTGGTGCAAAACCGAAAAGGTATTTGTATATATAATATATCAAATTGAATACATATGTAAGTTTGGCCACGGCTGTTGCCTTGACTGCGATATTTTCTTGTCGTAATTCTTGTTTAATTTCTTCCATACACTGTGCAATATATTTCGCCTATAACCAAACAAAATTGTCCGTAAAATATTAGTACATACTTCATGCAAATTTTAGTTTCGATGCTAAACTTATTTGTAAATAAATTAAAACTCATACATATGTACATGTTTTTCCATTTATTATAGTTTTCAGGATCCCCGAGGAAGCAAGATATTCGTGATGCAGGGGTGGTCATCTGTTTTGATGTGCGCTAATCAAACTCAATGACTCTAATACCAAGTGTTAAACCGCACTTTTGTTACCCGACTAAGTATAATAGTTTATGCTAGGTCATAGACATATACTCGTATATTTTCTTTACAATAATAATAGGCTAATTTATTATGTAGGTTGGATATAATATACCCTAAAAATATGTCCACAGGTATTAAAGCTTTAAAATAAACATTATTTATGTTATTCACCAACTTTTTTTAATGAAATAAGTTTTGATAAAAGAAAGGTTATGGTTGGGATATGATTTACGATATGTAAAAAAAATGATAAATTTAACAGTTTGTTAGCTTGATGAATATTTCTCAATATATCAATCACACTTAAAAGAACACTAAATAGGTAATAATTGAAGATTGGAAAATGCCAAACGCTTGACATGCTGAAATTTTATAAAGCCGAAGATGATCAAGAGCTCCAAAGAAGCTTTTTTACATTTGAAATTTGACAAACATGTTGAACTGTATTTTTTTGTTTTTAACACGTTTTAAGAATAGTAATAATTTAATTTTTTTTACTAGTTTAAGACAATTTTTCTTCTAAATTTAAGTTTAAATTATTTGGCGCTCACCTCATTTTCCTTGCTATTACGAATACCACGCACGAGATCGGTAAGATTTTTGTCGAACATCCTTTCGATGTTACCTCTGACTTTTTTTAGAGCCATCATAAAAAAAATCTAATCACAGATAAAAAAAACCACTTGATTCAATAAATAAAAAATATATCTAATTTAACAGCTGTTGCTACAGTTTATAATTCATTTAACGACTATTACAGAGCATGTTTGAAGTGTTTAATTATATGACAAATATCCGTTAATTGCCATTGGCTCGAAACTAATTAATTTGAATAATGTAATAGGTACAACAGCAGCATCGGCGGAGTTACATAATTGCTCTACGTGGATAGACCGAGATCAAAAATTATAATCTAATACATTGGCCCCCGACGGCCCCTACAATCTACATGAAGAAAGTCGGTAGCGGCGTTATCACTCTATCTCTTGTGATAATAGAACATCGGAAACTGGATATTAGAGTAGCCAACTGAGGAATAATAATTGAAGAATTTAACTGTTCTTTCATTGTTATCACAAATTTTGGCACTTAGACACGTGTGATGTGTGGTGACAGGTGTTCCGTGTTATCTTAATTCCTATAGTTTCGGGATTCCGTTCCCGATTTCCGGGTTCTGGTGTATGAATCACCTATCCGGATGGGACTTTCTACTTTATTCTTTAATAATCTTTAGGATCTAAAGAGTAGGGAGTATTAACATAAATAAATTTAATAAAACCAACTATTATTTTTTTACTCCCAAGTCCCATTAGTTCGACGACGGCGATGTTCGGATACTTATTTAGTTTTAAGGATTCTTGAAAAAAATATTATACTTATACAGTCGTTGGTAATAGTCTTTCAAAAACAGTTAGATTTCTGCTGCTCCTGTGAACAATTATTCCTCCAACTAACGTTGAATTTTAAAAATCTAATAATGATTTTTATATTATTAAAAAACCAGCAGAAATCGTCAAATACGAACTTTCTGTAAACAAATACGGTGGAATAGTCCATTTGACTAACCATGGATGAATTATTGGAAGTACGAAAAATGGACATAGCCGTTAGATACGAGCTGATTAATTTATTGGACACAAACGATGGGTGGAAGCAACTCATGTCTGTAGTGACATTCGATTGTGATCCATCCAATAGCCTCAAGTATTCAATCGATCATATTAAGTAAGTCATTGATTAAGTCTTGTTCTAGTGAATATTTTTAAATAGTTTAACAGGTTTTCTTTATTAAGTTGTCAAATTGTCATGTATCTATTATGATGTACATATCTAGCCGGATAGAAACAGCTGGTCACACTCAAAGACGATCATGCAGTGAAATATTCCTGGAAGAATGGAGCACAAGCGGTAGAATCCGACCAAACCTAAAGTTTCTATTGGAATTCTTGGTCAAAGCAAAACTTCTACGAGCAGCCGAATATGTATCTTCCAAAATCCTAAATGGTATTTTATATAAATTTGAATGTTTTAATTGATTTCAAATTTGCATGTGATTTCATTAGGACGACCTCCTGAAAGACCAAAAGATGGACCCCTAGCCCCAATAGATGTTACGATAAATGATAACCACACCAGTCCTTCTAACAGCGAAGACTTTAAATCTACCTTTTGTGCTGATCAATTGGACACAAATTTTTCTACTACATTAAACAATAAAAATAGGTAGTTTTTTATTAACTATGAAATACGTTGTTTGTTCATAATATGTAAAATTGTATAATTTTTTTTGTGATTTTAGATTTGGTGAGATTGAATTACCCTATTGTTATTTAAATAGCGCGACAAATGGATTTTCTGATTTGCATTTGATTGGCGCTGGAGGTTTCGGCAAGGTGTATAAAGCAACATTAAACAACTGTATTGTGGCTATAAAGAAAATGGATAAAGTGTTCGAGGACAAAGATTTCGAACAGTATTTGAACGAAATTGATATAGTAATAAAATGTAAACACGAAAATTTACTTCCACTGCTAGCTATATCATACGATGAACAACCATGCGTTATATACGAATACATGGAAAATGGATCGTTACTTGATTGCCTTAAATGTCTAGTACGTATTTAAAAAAAAAAAACAATTTTCAACAACCCTTGTTAACTGTTTTAATACAATACTTGTAATAGAATGATAAATCACCATTAAATTGGATTCTTAGAATGAAGCTCGGATTAGACGTAGCTAATGGTCTAGTTTATTTGCATACGGCATTTGAAAATCCAATTATACATAGAGACATAAAGACTGCTAATATTCTTCTCGACGATAAATTTGTTGCAAAAGTACATAACATTTAACCAACGATAGCACGACCAATATTAATAGAGAATTGTTTGTTTTTAAGATTGGCGACTTTGGGTTGACGCGTATCGGAGACCATACTATGACATCGGTAGTTTCGGGTACATCTGCTTATATGTCACCCGAAGCCTTCAGAGGAGACATTTCTGTGAAAATGGACGTATTTAGTTTTGCAGTGGTCTTGTTAGAGCTATTGACAGGCTTAGCGCCTTATGATACATCTCGCACGGGTTGTGATTTGGTGAGTGAATTTATGATTAATATTTAGTTTCTTAACTATACGTCAATATTTCAATATATATACATATTTTTTTTGCTCTAGTTAACTCATATATACGATATTGAGTGCCCAGTTAAAGATTTGCTGGATAAACGCGCTGGAAATTGGGACTTGGAAATAGGCACTAAAGTGTACGATTTGGCTATACTCTGTGCCGCTAATAAAACACAAAGACCTTTTATGCATGGCCAAGGAGGAGTGCTCGAGTGTCTGAAAAAAATCCAAGCCGACATTAAAATTTGTTGTTAATTCTAAAAATTGTACAACTAAAACTGAGTAACGAATATCATAAGAATTTAAATACTTAAAAAGTACAAGTGAACAACAAAATTAAAAATATTTTATTTTATCATATACCATTATGTATTATTATTCATAATACATTTGATAAAAAAATTTAAAACATGATTACAATATATGCTCAGTCTTAAGTATATGAGTACAATATTATGTTAGTAAAAAAATAAGGTTAGACAAAAATATTTATTCTAAATAGAGCTTTATGAAATAATAAACAATAATAATTTTAATAAAATATATAACTAATACCTACTATTTGTTGTATGAATCTCTAGTTTAGAACAATTTATTTTATTAAGTTACTACTAACCAGTAATACCTTGCTTATAAATATTTTCAACAAAAAACGCAATGCACTGACAAAATATTTAAACAATTTTTCACATGACATAATTCCAATTTTATGTACTGGTTTTTAGTATTTGGCTTTCAATAACTTCATAAGTTTCTCCAACTTCATTGCCTTCATTAAACTGCCGCCTATTTTCAGTTTACCCGACATATAAGCGTCAGCCGCTTTGAGCTTTCCTATTAACATATATTAATAATCATTATCAATCATATTTTTTGACAAAAAAAGTTTAAAAACACAAAGTTTTCATCATTAAAATCAACTAACCATCAAATAGTTCTTCCAGTTTATCGGCTTCCATCGTCAAAGTAGCATCTGGTTTTGTTGAAGGTTTTCCTTTGCCAGCTTCTCCATTTCCAGTTAAATCTACATAGTATGTTCTATCTTCATCTCCTAGACATTTTTAAAAAAATAATATTCTTACTAATTTTTCTTACTTAAATTATTATTATTTACAGTTAAATTTAAAAAAACATATTTTTAGTAAGTTAAAACAGTATTGACTTGGATTTTTTTTTTTAGTACTTAGTAACAATTGGGAAGTAACTTATGTTTTTTTTTATTGTTTATAAAACAATTTTTTTTTTTAAGCTATACATTTTTTAAAAAAGCAAGACCAACAAACCTTTTCAAAAAAAACATTTTATCTCGTACAAAAATTCAATTTTTTTTTTAAAGCGATTTCCCTATTGTTACTGTAATAGTTACTTAATAAGTAGTACCTTTTACAACAAACAAAAAACAAGCATTCGTTCCTTTAGCTACTTCGGGAGTCAAATGAGTGTTGATTTTAGTAAATATTTTTTCGATTGTATCTTCAGCTCCATTGGTTTTTTTACTTTGAACTTGGCCTTGGGTAAAACCGTCATGAGGTAAAATCCCATCCAAAAAGAAGTCTGGCATTAAATCTCCTTTGTAATCTGAAATAAAATACACACAAATTTATTGTGTAAATATCTTCAATCAGTTAAAATAACAATCAGCAATTTGGTACTAACTCGGGTCATTTAGATATTGCTCCATATCAGTAACACCTTCTTCTCGTAGTACATCGTCGTCAACTAAAAATTGCCCTGTACACCTTTCTACCGATCTACACAATATTGCATAAGCAGCATCAGCAACAATTTCCGGTTTACGAGAAACTTGTCTAGACGAATCCGGACCAGACAACATTTCTAAGGCAGCAGAGTAAATTGCTATAACCAAACGAAACAATATTAAATGAGTTGCACTCGTCTACTTAAAATTTTAAAACTGCATTCTATTTTTAATCAATGAATGGTTCTAAAAATTTAACATAAAAATTACTAAGTAACTTAAAAATTCGATTAATACATTTCGAAAATAAGTAACGGGCATTAAAAATAGTAAAACAATTTTCTGAATATATTCCAGTAAAGGAGTAGATAATAAAATATAGATTTGGAAAAGACAGAAAATCTAAAGAAAGGAGATTCCTATAAACAAAAATGGGGGGGGGGGACATAATCTTATTACAGCCGACAACATACATATAATAAGGATGATACATTATACAACAAGGATTTACCAAAGCACTTAGCTTATGTACACATATAAAATAAAAAAATAGATTTGAGTTTGTGCCAATAGGAAATAATTATAGTTTGCCAATTGTGAATTTGTTTAGACATTCCAAGTACTAAATAATTTAGTGTAGTTTTATTAATTTGATTTGTACTTTACAGATTAAAAGAAATATTTCAGTAGTGTAAGAAAATATGCAAAACAAATTATAAAATTAAATTTACATCCTTTAGCACTTGGATCATTTGACAAAGTCACTCTTCGTTTCTATTTGATTGACCCAAAATAAAAATATTATCTAATTTAATATCATAAAATTGATGTTTAGTAACAATAAAACCTATACTAATATTATCATTAATATTAGTTAGGGGTTTTTATACTTTTTTAATATTAATTCCTAATTAGTAATTTTTTTGAAAATAAAAATAAATAGTTTTTAATTATTTATAATTTATAGCTACCTATATTATTATTTAATAAGTAATTCATTACCAGTTCTTGGCCACAACGCATTAACAGCAATATTGTATTGTTTGAGTTCTTGAGACATGCCCAAGACACACATTGACATGCCGTACTTTGCCATAGTGTACGCAACATGATTTTGAAACCAAACCGGGTTCAAATTTAATGGTGGACTAAGATTCAAAATATGAGCGTGTTTGCTCTTTTTTAAATAGGGTATACATAATTTCGACCTATAAAATAGTTTTAATATATATGATTATATAATACGAAAAAAAAGAATACATAATATATATAAATTTTTAAAACAAATCATCTGTTACACTAAAAATGTTCCTCTTGTATTAATGTTATGCATGAGGTCGTATCTTTTCATATCGGTTTCAAGGGTGCCAGTCAATGATATTGCGCTAGCATTGTTCACAACAATATCGATTCCTCCAAATTTGTTAACCGCCTTATTAACGGCATCCACAATCTGTCCCTCTTCTCTAACATCTACTACGCACGGTAAACATTTTCCACCCGCTTCTTCAACTAAAAAAAAAGTTGTAACAAAATATATATTATACTACCTATATTGTAATAAATTAACACATTTTTTAAACAAACAACTAATGATTGTAATAACTGTAAATCATGTTTTTTTTTCTTTACAAAACTACATAAGTAATTAAACAGTATAGCTGAGAAATAATAATAACATTAATTACACCTATATGTATATTTTAAAATACAATACTAAATCATTATTGACAATAATATCATTATCAAGTAATTATTTATAGACATTGGACTTTGAACAAGACGAAATCAGAAAATAGCAACATTAGAATTTTTTGTTTTAACAACAAGTTTATTTTAATACTGATCACATTTTATCATTGTCAAATATTCTCTTGGTTCTAGATTGGTATCACACAAAAGCAAATGGTTTTACAATATGTCTTAAAAGGTGTGAATAAAATTAACATTTTATAAAACAAATTTTATGTAGACATAAAATAATAAAAAATATATAATTATACTAGTTTTTTTTTTATCGAGGTTAAAAAGGCATAAGCTTGTGATGGAGTAGAGTAAAGATTCTAGTTTTGTATATAATATAATACATATACAAGTATAGGCATTTATCCTATATATATATAAATAGTATTATTAACAAATAAATAGACTTGATAGCGTAGTACAGACAGTATCAAAAGAAAGAAAGAAAAAGTACAATTGGTTATTTTACAGACATATGAATGAAAACATTAAATGCGGACTTCTATTGCGAGCTGTATAATTCTGAAAACCACATATAAGCCACCTATAAACTATTATTTGTTAGAATGTTATACTTCCACGAAAATTATGCCAGAAACAGTATAACATTTTATAAATTGTTAATTCTAAATGTATACATTTTTTTTTACCCAAACATTTAATTTTTATAATTTTTTTTTATTTTTCAATAAGAAAAATTGTAAACAAGAGAAAAAAAATGTTATTTTCTATTTAAACATAATTTTAATGATTTTTTAATTTTAATCACCTACATTTGATACTTTTTATAACAAATTAGAATAGTTAAATATATTAATTACCTTCCTTAGCTGCTGTATAAATAGTTCCTGGCAGTTTTGGATGTGGTTCAGCTGTTTTTGCAGCTATAACGATGTTTGCGCCGTCCCTAGCTGCTTTTATGGCTATAGCTTTACCTATTCCCCGACTTCCTCCTGTTATGAATATAGTTAATCCGGATAGTTTCCTAAATATGTAAATAATAGTATTTTAATTTTAAAAATACAAATTTACTAATTAAAAATAAAACGGTTATACCCTGTGTTTAACATTATAGGCGATCAATTTTGAAACGATTTTCTGTTAACAAAAGTTCTAATTAAAAGTTCTAGTGAGATAAACTAATAACTGGTTATAAGAGTTCAATAATGATTCAAGAACACTGTTGTCTGTTGTTATTGACTTCCTGAATTGAAATCAGATCAGGTTGAAATAAGGAAACCTAATACCTATTGTAATTAGTCATGTTTTGCTATCAAAACGAAGGGCAACAGCCAACACAACTACAGAATAATTTATTCTGTGCACAACGCAACGTCGATTCCAGGTGAGATAGTATGTCGATTGACCTACTAAGTCAAAACAATACAATATTATACATTTTTTCAACTGTGATAACAGATTTTTTTGCTAACAGTTATCGCGAGTATTACAGGTACTGTGATTTATATTTATATATCATTAAATAAAAATGTAATAACTATTAATACTATATATTATTTAAATATCGTCCAATTTAAAAAAAAACGCTCAACTAACAAATTCAACAGTTGATAATTTCGGTTTCCTAATATTTTGTGATTATAATCGTGACATAGTAACTAGGTATGTCGGCAACTTTTTACAATATGGCTGCCGACTGTTGTGTCCTGTAAGAAATACACGGCCGCCCGGTGAAAACCAATGGCCATTACGTAGCTACCACAAATCGCCAACATACCTATTTATTTTGTCATGGTTATCATTATTATTAATTATAATTATGATAACAATTCGGCAATTTTATGACAATGAGCAGTCATTAATATAAACTATTTAAAGACTAAACTAAATACTAATAAGTAAATTGTATAGAGTTCATAAATGTTAAAACTTTAAATAAATATCAGTTTCTTCTTACCTATTTACTATTTACATCATTCAACAAAATAGTAAAGTAAAAACAACCAATAAAATGGAACATTCTCTAATGGAAGAAGTATCGAAATTGTAAGATATACGTACAAACAACTAAATAAGCAGGCACGTTACAATCCGATTACTATACTCTCTTCAAATTAAGAAGCGACCTCGTCGGCTATCTGAAAGCAACGTAAAAAACCGGTTTTCAGGTAGCTGCCGATGTCGCTTCTTATTTTGAATCGAGTATAGTTGGTTATCTGACCATCGATATTACAAAATTTATGGTGCAGGGGAATAGTTTTTTATTTTTATGGTTTTTGATACTTGAGGACTTAAAATCAATAACGTTTTAAGTGCCATATAATAACAATAATAATGTAAAGCCTGAAATATTATACTAAAAACCAAGCCGATAAAATGTAAAACGCACAGTCTGCCTTGATTAATTTGATTAATTCTAATAGTTAAAAAACTCGGATAAAATATAGTGAGTGTGATATTAAGTCCTTTATTGAATTAAAAATATAGGTGTAGGTATAAATTTACTTTGCAGCCATGACATTTAAATTTAGAAAATTATTGTTGCACAAGCATATAGGTATGTTGTGCTTGAGACGGATGCAGTGCCACTAAAATACTATCATAATTGTTTGACTTTAAATTTTTTGACCCTTCCTGAAATTAGTTATATGTAAAATCTGTAAAGCATCTTAAAAAACAAAAATTGTGTTGCTGCTCTGACTGGTAGGTGGTGCGACGGCCAAGTCACACACGAGAGCTGACATACTTGTACAAAGATAATTCCTAGCTTTTATTTAGTTATTAATTATGAATAAGAGGAGTCTGCAGATTTCTGATTCAATAAATATAATTAAATAAAATTGGTCATTTTTAGGCAATCTGAGCAAAACGTCGCAGGTGTTTTAGTTTCCGACAACAGAGGTCTCTGCATTTTTTGTAAGTTAAACGCTCACAACCTTAATATTATTGATGTTGTTACACATTTACAAATATTAACTATCTACTAAACTTTTTTATAATGTAAATTTTAGCATCTGGCGAAGTAAAATCAGATGCAAGTGGTCTTATATCTTACATTGCCAGTCATATATCAAAATTGGATGAAGCAGAACCTTATCCAACTATTTTGTTGAAATCTGATAATAAGTAAATACAATTATTAAAGTATTATACGAGAAAAAAAATCGTACTACCTAACCTTGTACTTAAATTAATATACATATTTTTAAATATTTTTACATTCTATTGTGCAACTAATTCTAGTTTATTTTTAGGTCGTGTATGATCAAAGGATGTGAAAATTCTTCTATTTCTGTGATGTATAAAAATAAATAACATTTTATAGTTTATGTACTTATTATATTTTTTTTAATTTATATTTTATTTAAAACTATTCTATAATCTTTATAATATATATTTATATTTATAATTAATGTAATTAAAATTTTCTTGTTATTTATTTGTTATGTAACTTAATATTTAAAATCCTGAATATAATAAACAAGTATAAGTAATTAATCTTGTGAATAAAATCTAGCCTTTGTAACGTTGTTGCACTATTACGACTTACGAGAGATCACAGCTGCACTGTTATGTCCAAGTTATCTGTTATAGACTTAAATATGTATGTGATAATTTATTAACAAGCCCTTGGAAAACTACCAATTGTGTGGTAAAATATTACAAAAGTTAGAAAAAAATGGACTTGATATTTTGAATCGCCGACTAACACATAGGCCACATATTTTAGTTTACTTCCTCTGCATCCTACCCCATCCACCTTATGAGTTATGAACTTTATTTTTTGAGATTTATGGCTGGATCGTTTAAGCTTGCAAAAATTAATAAATTATTTTTAATTTTATAATAGGTAGACATTAGCTTTGTTCCAGCATTGTGTTGTAAACTTTCGGCGCATGCGCAGTCAAAGAAGTGTACCAGCAGAGCAAAATATTGGAAACATCTAACAAAATGTTTTCTGTTCTATCATCAAATAAACTGATAACCCCTGAGCGCTGAAGTCGATTAACTTCGAACACAACGTTAACTTGTTGGAAACAATAATTTTCTGTTGCGAACTTTTTTTTTTCTGTACGTGTGTGAAACTAGCAATTTGTGATAACGATTTTCCGTATGGACTGCAGTGGTTATTGATAAGATAATTTAATTATTATCGACTTACATGTTTTCATTTTATTTTTAGATTTAGTGTTGTTGGTTTATTTAATTAAAGTGTGCAAAGTACCTATTAAGTTTTAAACGATAGAATTTCTGCAGTAAGAACATACAGTAAATACCCTACATTGAAGTGTAGTAAATGTTAACAGTAACAACCTGCGGCAAACGGAATTCACATAATCTAGGAAAATGAAATTACCATAACGTTATAACTAAATTTTTTTTAAAATAATGTACTTCCAATTATTGTGGCGTTCTTACATTTTGTTCATTGTTCTTTGCGTTTTACTTTTTGTGCTCATATTAGCATTGAGATGGCATTACACTAAGAAAAAGAATAAACATGCGACTCAATTTAGCATAGCGTTTTTTCATCCATACTGTAACGCAGGTGGCGGCGGTGAACGTGTCCTCTGGTGCGCTGTCAGCGCTATCAGTGCTGTCTATCCCAAAGTAAGAATTGTAGTTTATACTGGCGACTTAGACGCATCACCGAGTGAAATTATCAAACGGGCAAAGCTGAGATTCAACATTAATGTACCTGACAATTTAGAATTTATATATTTACACAAAAGATATTGGGTGGAAGCCAAGAATTACCCTTATTTTACTCTATTAGGGCAAAGTCTCGGCTCTATAATTTTAGGTTTCGAAGCTTTGAACTTATTCCAACCTGACATTTACATAGACACAATGGGATATGCGTTCACATTGCCATTGTTTCAATTCTTAGCCGGTTGTAAAGTCAGCTGTTATATTCATTACCCGACTATAAGTTCGGATATGATAAACAAAGTCATACGACAAAAAGGGAAAAACAAAACAATATCGACGGTAAAACTCCTATACTACCGGCTTTTTGCTAATCTATACGGCCAGCAAGGTCGGTTTGCGGACTCTATAATGGTGAACGGATCGTGGACCGAAGAACATATTAATTCACTTTGGAATCGTCCTCTGAGTACATATAAGGTATACCCACCTTGCGACACGTCTGATTTACAAAGCATACCCTTGGAAAGGCCTAAGAAAAAATCTGTGAAAATTATAAGTTTGGCACAGTTTAGACCAGAAAAAGATCATCCTTTACAACTTAAAGCTATGTATCATCTAAGACAAATAGTAAATGAACAAACCTGGGAGAATATAGAACTAGTGTTTATCGGATCGACCAGGAATCGAGAAGATGAAGAAAGAGTGCACGACATGATGGATTTATGTAAACACCTGTCTTTAGAAAATAACGTCAAGTTTAAAGTCAATATTAGCTACGAAGAGTTGAAACACGAGTTAGCTGAAGGTAATTGATTTTGATTGTAATCTAATACTGTGATTGATAATTTAATGTAATTTTTTATTTTTAATCAGGTCTAATAGGTTTACATGCAATGTGGAATGAGCACTTCGGTATCGGTATAGTAGAATGTATGGCAGCTGGTCTGATAATGATAGCACACCGATCGGGTGGTCCACTCATGGACATCATTATAGAAGACGGTGCTGGCCAAAATGGATTTTTGGCTACAAACGAAATAGAATACGCACACGCCATCCACAAAGCTCTACTTTTAACGGATGAGCAAAAACTGTCATTACAAAAAGCCGCGAGAGGATCAGTCAATAGGTTCTCTAATCAGCAATTCCACGATAACTTTTTACGAGCTGTACGACCGTTGTTTAGAACAAATAATGAAACATAATTTTTATATTCTCAGTAAAAATGTTTTTTATTTCTAATCAAACCAAATACTATACAAAATATTGCTGTTACTATTATATAAAATAGTGAATTGTTGTTGGTTTAAATTTTTTTTTTTACAACTTAAGTTCAAAGGTGTAAATTCAATTATCTTTGATGGCTCGATTGATGAATCTCTCCATTAAGAGTACTTCAAGACTAAGGTTCTACTATTTTAATTTGGACCATCGACTTGCTGAGTAAGCATTTAATGTAGACTAAAGTAGCAGACATTATGAGTAGACAAAAAAGATAGGTTGTTTGGACAGATTTTAAGTCAAAGTCTGATTATATTTGCCTTAAGTCTTTTCAAATGTTACATTACGCTCATCGATATAGTAATAATACTACATGAGTAGTTTTTCAATTCTGTTTATAAACCTCCACAAAAATAAAGATGGAAACTAGAGACTTATTTTGCCTAATATAAATCGTCAATCGGCTTTATAAAAGTATAATTTAAGGCAGTATCAAAGTGTCATAAATAATGTTCCCAGACTAAGAACTTCAAAAACATTTGCTTCGATATGGTGCTGCTAATAAGTAAAAACTTTTTTTTGTTCATATTATTTGTCTAATAAGATAAATAATAAACTCATAAAAATTACATGATTTTTGTCGATAATGTAATACTTATTAATTATTATTGTACTTTATAACGTAATCATTTTAGTACAGCCACACTACTTGTCTCCAGTATAAGTTGTGTAACACTATATACAACAAATTAAATGGCTTTCTTGTTGAGATTTAAAACATCAATAATTATAATAATAATATTATATTATAATTATAGTTATAATTAGTCCCCAATAGTAAACTGTAAATAATATATTTTAATTGTCTTTATTCAATAATATCGAAAATCTTGTATGGCTATTTAATCGTTCATAAGTTTCTTGATGTTTTTATTTTTTTGATTCTCGAGCCTGCTTTTTTGCCAATTCTTTCCCTTGATTGAAACCGTCGTGTGGAACATCTCCCAAAAAGAAATCCATCATAAGGTTATCGGCACATGCTGAAAAAAAAAGATTTTTGTTAATATGAATTTCCACATAGGTTTTTCCCCTAGGATAACCTCTTTCTTGTTCCATTCAATATTTTTGGTGGTCCCGTAAATGAAAATACAATAGTAAGTATATATATATATATATATAAATAGGTAACTTCATATAGAATATACTTACTCGGATCGCATAAATATTGATCAATATCCGAGACACCTTCTTCTGTCAATACCTCATCGTCTATGAAAAATCTACCAGTCCAATTATCGTCAAACGATTTCGTTAAAATCGTATAAGCCGCATCGGCCACTATTTCTGCTTTGCGAGAAAACTTTTTCGCTTCTTCTACGCCCGATAGCATTTCCACAGCTGCAGTGTTAATGGCTACAATAAGACAGAACAAAAATAACAATTAACGCAAAATACATAATATTATTACTATTTTAACAAATTTTTATCGCAATGATAATGTAAGTCAATGTAGGTGGAAAATACAGTGGCGTAAGAAAACTCAAAATTATAGAGAAATGTATAACAGCTATAACTGATTTAAACATACTATCCACAGATTCGCATCGAAGCGTTTATTTAAAAGTGATTTTATCACTTTCAGTTATAATAAAATCTGTAGACCTGTGACCTCTCCGTCCCCACTATGCCCCGACCCCACTGTACTGGCTTTTTTTAATTTAGATATATTATATTTTCTCTTTTTTAATTTAATTTGCAGGTATTATTATTATAATATCTGCACATATAATATGGCTTTTCATTTTCGCCACAAAGTAAAATAAAATAAATTTAACTTATGTACGTTACATGCGAAACTATACAAAATGTCTGGTCTTTGTTATTTTTAATTAAAAATTAACATTAGTTTTATGCATAATGTTAATATACGCATGAAAGGAACGAATACGTAACCTTTAGTATGTTTAAACTAATAAATACACACATAGGTAAGCAATAATAAAAAAAACACTATTAAAATACTAATGAACTTCCAACTAAAAAATACACAATTACTGGCTAAGTATGTATTTATTTAAATACATACAAAATGCAAATCACATATTATTTTAAAAATAGATACCTACTCGAAAATAAAGTACTTAAAAAATAAACTAAATTATCTGTGTACGAGTTAGACCATGTAGAATTAGTTTTACTCGTATTTCGAACGTGTTTAGAATACTTAAATAAATATAGTAAACAATACATTAGCAGAATTTTTACTCTTTTTTTTTTTTGTACCATTTTTGTCTTTTGATATACTTATAAATATGATTGAGAGTTATAACTGATAGTATATATTACGTATAACTTCCCGTCATAAACCACCAACTCTTTGATAATATGGAAGGTTTTTTTTAAAATCTAAAATCGGTTTTGGTACATATTTAAATATATGAGCAATTCATATTTCTTCACCTAAAAACTATAAAAATTACATTTATCTCTATCTTATATGTAGTCTCGTAAAAAAAAAATATTTCTCCTTCAAATATGAGCCAACTAGAAAACCCCTATTTTTATTTAAATTATGGCCAGTTCTATTAATTTTCGATGATAATATTTGTTTTATGTCACATATAATATAGGTACTAAAAAATTTCAATCACAATTAACTATTGCCCAAAACGAGAATGACTAAATTAGAAAAATGTATTTTACTGATTATACAATTTTATACCTCATAATTGTATCAATTGACGTTTTTATAGTTAAATAGAGATATATGATAGTACGATACATTGATTAATACTTATGGCTGCGATATTGTGGTAAAATTAACAGGTTAATCATTCGGATAAAATATGTAAATTTGTTAGGTTTATTATACAATATTACCAGTTCTTGGCCACAATGCGTTTACACAAATTTTGTCCTTCCTAAACTCTTCAGACATTCCCAGAACACACATTGACATCCCGTACTTGGACATAGTGTAAGCACAGTGATCTCTGAACCAATTTGGATTTAAATTTATCGGTGGGCTGAGATTGAGAATGTGCGGGCTTTTGCTTTTTTTCAAATATGGTAGACAGGCTTTCGATCTGAAAACAAAATTATTAAAACATTGAGAAGCATTCAGCCGCGCTAAACTGCAATTATTACATTTAAAAAAGTGGTGAAGTCAGTAAAAAAGTTTAACGTTATATTTTCACCGAAAGTGGTACATTTCTGTTCGTGGGAAATCGTATGGGGTTGTCCCAAAGCCTAAGGCTGACCTTTCAAGGTCACTCTTGACTTAGGTAGTTAAATTAGGTCGCTTGAAAAAAAGTGACATTGGAATAGTATAGCAGCAATATCTGCTAAAAGATGATTTTTGTAAAAAAAAAAAACACCATTCAGACAACACTCAATTTGATTACTTAGGATAGTCCGATTTCGATTCTGAAAATATTTTGCCAGTTCTTTGGTTACTTTACTTTTTATTAAAAAAATTGCGTTTTAATATTGAACAATTTTAATTAATACACAAAAAAACTGATTTTTTTTTTTTAAATAAAATTTTATTTCTAACATAAGCTAGTAAAGAGACCAACAAGTTCTTACAATTTTACAGTATTGAAAATGGACCAGCCAATGTCTTACACCAAACAGGAGCGGGTACACGGGGGGAGCATTGCTTCCATGCCCCCCAAATCTCAAAAAAAAAATTAACCTAAAAATAAACTGACATGGTTAAAATTTATTAAAACCACTTTCTTCTTAATTATGGCTTATGAAAAACTCCTTAAAAACCGTGATTTCAGATATGTGTCATCACTGTGCGATGACACAAATTTTTTATTGACCTTAAGGTTAAAAAAATGCCAATGTTAAAATAAAAACTGGTATTATGATTACACTAAAAATGTCCCTCTCGCGTTGATGTTGTTCATCAAATCGTATCTCTTCATGTCGGTGTCTAACGTGCCCGTCAAAGATATTGCACTGGCATTGTTGACCACAATATCTATCCCTCCGAATGTACTGACGGCTTTTTCAACAGCTTCTAGAACTTGCTTTTCCTCTCTGATGTCCACCACACATGGTAAACACTTGCCGCCGGCTTCTTCGACTGTGGATTAAACCAATACTACGTAGGTTATAATTTCAAAAAGGAATAAAATTAGGGTGAATTTTTCGTTATGATATAGTTTATACTAACTATATAATCCTACTAGAAATCGAAATATTCGTTAACACTAGCATTTATTAAGGCGCATTGTATAGGCAATTTTTCAATAAAATTTAAATACTGTATGATTCATTATTGTAGTTATTTTAAACTATTTCAAATTTTACAACAATATCCGAAAAATATGACACATTTGTACAGTTTATCAATATAATGTACAATAAACCTATCTTTAAAATGCAAATTACTTTCTTTGGCCACTGAATACACTGTCCCGGGTAATTTAGGATGTGGCACTCCGGTTTTGGCTGCTATGACAATATTAGCGCCGTCCTTGGCCGCTTTTAACGCAATAGATTTGCCGATTCCACGGCTTCCTCCACTTATAAATATAGTTTTACCGTTTAATTTTCTGGAAAAAAAATTACAAAATTTTCTTTATAATTGTATTAGCAACAAAATTTAATAATTTATATCAATCATAAAATATGTAATATATTATGCACCTTAAAAAAAATAATAATAATAATACCGGTTAGATAAGATAAGATAACGTATGACGCGGTGCTGCGAGCCGATCTACCGGACCAGTCGACGTTAATCGGTTTCGCGGACGACACTCTGATCACCGCCTCCGGCAAGACGGTCGAGGAGGTGTAGATCGGACAAATGGGGCTTTGCGTGCGGTGGCAGCAAAGTTCCACGAGTTAGACCTCCAGCTCGCCGCCGAGAAGACGGAAGCGGTGATGATCAGGCGCAGATAAAAGGTCAGGGAACCGCGTAGAAGTTAAGGTAGGAGAGACCATTGAGATGTCAGTCGATCGTAAACTTGACTTCAAGCAGCATGTCAAGGCTGACCAAACGGCTGAACGTCACACGGTGGGCACAGGGCAAGGGCGGCGGGTGCGGGCGTCATCGGCCCAACAACGCACCACCGACTGACAGAAAAATACTATATTTACATATGTAAATAGCTTTACTTTTTATCATAAGCAGTTTGTATAAACTAGTTTTTAAGATATCTTGTATAAAAAGTTAATCGGGGTCCAATGTGAATATTGCGATTATAATTTTAATTATAAAAATTTAATATAAATTGATTAAAAATATATATTATAATATGGCTGTTGTATATCGAGAAAGTAGCGTTTGATATTGGCTTGTATATGCTGACACTCGCTCTCGTTCGTGGGAAATCATCAAAGGGCAGTCAATGGCCTTGCATTTTCATTTTCGTATCAGTGACGTTGACGTCACAAATACATGCTAAAGATTTGATTAAATTTACAATTTCTTATGATTTTGTTTACGTCTAAAAAGTGGCAGCGATAAGCGATTAAAAACATGTGAAATCATGCATTTACAATTGCATTAATTTGTTTTTCGCTTACAATATATAACGTTTTGGTGAGATAGCTTCTATTATTAGCTATAGCATTGATTAATTATTAAATTTGTATTTAATCAATGGCTATGGATGCAGGCGAGGTGTGATGGGAAAATGTTCGCAATTTGTTTCATTGCGAAATTTCCACTGAAAAATTAACAAAAAAATTCATCTAAGTTTCTTTTTGTGCAAATAAGTGCCATGAATTTTCTCAGGGTTTTCAGATAATTAGTTTAATCTAACACTACGCTAAAAAATGGAAAAAACGTAATTTGCAATATCCGTAATTAATCGTCCAATACGGCGGCTATCTAGTTGAAAATTTGGCAAAAACGTTCTTAGGTCATGTTCTTTCGAACAGTTGGTAAGGAATTTAATTTCGTTTGGGAGCAATTTTTACGTAGAATTCTGGCTAAGCCCTTTATGTAGATCTAAATTATGGATAGCATTTTTGGCCGGTAATCCTGCTCTCTCATTGGGTCCGGACCCCCCTCAGTACGCCTCTGTCAACGGTTATCTACTAGATCACATAACACGACAACAAACCTGTAACAACTAACAACTGTGAATAAGTCGATTTCAGTGATTTTAATTTTTACAAGGGAGCGATTTTAAACTTGAAAGACACCACTTGAATATCTCTAAAGTATTTATTAATATAACAGGATCATAAACAAATCAAATCCTGATTTATGGCAGCAGGTCAAAGTTTAAAATCGCTCCCCTGTAAAATCACTAAAATCTACTTACACGCTTATTCACAGTTGTTACAGAAATATTATAGTATTCTTAAACTACTTAAAATATTATACACACTACATAGGCAAAAGTGTATGTAATATATACGCTTCTTTAAAAATAAAATTATTAACTGTTGGATCATTTGAATTTCGTTTTCGAATAGATTTACATATAATTTAGTATTTACATATAATTGAATTACTTTATTATTATATAATAAAGTAATGAAGAAATAATAGTAGGTAATAACAAGATGCATAAAATTAGTCGACAACTGAATTAAAGACAGATATAATTTATTTTTCTAGTTACCTAATCTAAATCTATTTTTGTTTTTATTTATAATAATTTAAATTATTCGGTGATAAGTCTATATCGATTTATATACTTATAAAATTAATAACAGTTTACTATATAATTTCTTGTAATAAAATATAATATACTATATTATTATACTAATTGCTTATTTATATTAATGTATATTGATTATTATGTATGATAATTAAACAAAAATTGTAATTAAAATAATTAGTTCGCTTTCGTTATAATTATTTTGCATAAAACAAGTTAATAAATATTTTTTAGAAGAAACTAAAATATATTGTATACAAAACATACATACCCAGAATTTATCATTTTGGATTTTGCGCAGATCGCTGTGAAAAATGTACGTTTAAATTTCAGTAAAAACGTTTGGTATAATGAATTTAAATTTAATTTCCTACTTTATATAAATGTATACATTTTTAATTAAGATATATCATTAACGAAGCTAGATATACTCCGTTTTAAAAGAATACACCGGTTACTGGTTCTGCGCATACCGACTTACGGGTGAGATAAGCTCTTTTTCTCCTTCTACCGGGCTGCCACTATACAGTACACGGTAGTATAAGTAGTCTAGTGTAGAAAATATAAATGTATAATCACAAACTTGTCATTAACGACTGCTAAAGGGCAACCGAACATTGATGTTTCCCTGTTAAATGAAATTTCATGAACTATGACTTTTAACTATCATTTATAATAACATATCAATGCTAAAACAAATACTCTAGACGATAACCTTTTATAAACTTTTATTTATTTAATTATTGCATTTACTTAACATATTATTTACCTTTTATAAAATATGTTTTTTTGTGAATGACTCTACTCCACTTTACTGGCTTTTGACAATTTAAACAATAATAATACGATTTCTTTACATTTAAATCTATCAGCATTGTAAACAAATAAACTATACTCTCCCAGTAACTATATAGTACAACTGCGAAAAAGATCATTTGGCCGTCTGAAACTTATTAGATTTATTTAAACATTTATTAATAAAGTAATGAAAATGATACAGCTACTAGCGCCCGTTCCTTGTCGACGTCCAGAACTGAAATTTCTCTCGGTGGGCCAACTATAATATTTATAAATTATAATTTATAATCATGGTATTATAATCAAGTAGAAAAAAAAATTCTTTTGATTTGTTCAAACAAAATGTTGAATTTTGTGTAGGAAAATTATGATGATAATGTATTTTTTAACGGTTTGTATTTTATTGATAGATTTGATTACATGCGATTTAAAATTTGTAATAATACGGTGTATGCGGGGATTAGAAATATACCTTTTTTTGTTAATAATAACATATAACCACTACATTAGTATAACAGCTTAAGCAAGTTTTGATAATCGTTAAGAACAAATTCGAAATACAGTAGTAGTTTTATCCAATCTTAATGTCACGAAAAACTGAAAAAAAGTCATAAAATAGATTGATAAAAAAATATAGAAAATAATACATTTATTTAACTTTGATTTCATTAATTTTCTCGGCTTAACTTGTCAGATCGTTAAAATTATTTTGTCAATAAATAATAATGTTAAAACTTCCAATCTATCAAAAAATAAATTTGAGAAAAAATTAAAAATCACCCATTGCCGCCCAAAAAATTGTAATAAACACCGTTTTATGATATTTCTGGAGTGTTGGTTTGAATATAAAATATATTCCCAATAAAATTTGATATATTTTTTTTTTGCTGAACTAGAAACTGCTCTCAAGTGTAAGTAAAATGTTAAATTTTATATGATACATAAAAGCATATTAAGAAGGTACCGTTTCTATAATGGCGAATGCAAAAAAAATCCAGTACCTATTAACAGTAATTATATTAATTTAACATTTATTTAAAAATAGCACATTTCCAACATATGTCAATTACCATACCTAGACATTAATATTAAATTAGCTAAATATGTTTTTAAATTTTTCGAATGTTTAGATAGGAAAAATAAATATTTACCTATTAAACGAGACTGCAAAAGAAATGTACAAATTGTAAATTTATTTTTCTTTAAAAGAAGTTCAAATTTAATATTTTATTAGGAATAATTTTGAAACACAAACTGTTTAAAGACTATAGAACAATGGTATACCTACAACAAATTTATAAAATGATTTATTCCGAAACAAACTAAAATAATTTTAATAAAATCAAATTTTTTTGCTGAATTCGAATTTGGCCTAAGATTATATATCTCACATCAAGTAAATTTGTACACCGCCTTTAAAATTATAAGAAAAAACGACCATTTTGTGATATTTTCAATTGGTTTTGTAGGTACTTTTCAAATACATTTTCTAAAAAATATTTGAAGAGTTTTTTTACTTCATTTCTCTTACTAAATCTGCTAGAACAGATCTCAAACTGAATTGTATTTCTTCATTATGTTTGATAACATAATAAAGAAATAACTAGCCATAAAGTACTCTCATTCAAATAATTTGACAAAATTATGGTTCAAAAAAAAAAAAGAAAAGAAGTAGTGATCACTAAAATAACAAAATTCTTAACAACAACTATAAACTAACTTTATATTTTTTATATGTGACAGTAATGAGTAAAGCAAATAGTAAGTGGCTAATAAAACTGTTTATTAAGAGCCTAACAAAGATTTGATTAAAGTCGGTTAACATAACATTATACACAGTTGCAAAACAAACTTAATTAAAACAAAATTACAATAAATATTAACAAATAAAATAAACAAAAAAAATTTAACAACAAAAATATACACGCAAAGTATGCGCGAAAGTATTTTAAGGGTTTTTGTTTCTCGATTTCGTGACAGAGACTAATTTTTTTTAATAACGTTTTTTAGATTCTCATAAGCAAGGTTGACTATGCCCCAACTAACAAACGACCTTGTGCAATTCATGTGCACGCCTCTATAAAAATATGATATCTTACGACCTCGCTCTTTGTAAACATCAATAGCAGCTTGTCTAATGCTTATAAATGGACCTCCGAGACTGCTTTGCATGTGCACCTTGAGAACGTTGCATGGATAAAACAATGTACTGTTTAATGCGCCAATAAACGCTCCGGTCAAAAACTCCTTGATTACTCTGAAGCCGGCCCAGGCATTGGGAGGTAATACTATGTACTTGTTGGCCGTTTCACGTAATAAGAAAAACGACGTGCTTGACGGACCATTACGCATTAACACAGGTGTGACGCCACGGTAAAATTCCGTAGCGGAATACTTTGTGGCAATCACTTTGATCACGTCCCTCATGTTAGCGAACTGTTTGTTGTAATGGTTATCCTGCAGGAGCGTTTGGACGCGTTCAAACGGCGTCAGTGTCGCTTCTGCGGTGCCAGCCATTAGCGCTGCGATACCTTTGGATATTGTAACATTCATGTTGGTATTCAAAAGGGGCTTTTGGATCGCATCGTAGGTACCGAACATCAAAGATGTGGAAATACCTTTCTGCAACAGTGGCGGCCCGATGCCTCTGTAAAGAGTGCGAAATCCTTCACTGAAAAGCTGGTTGGCAGCGTGTCTTAGTGCCATTCCATGAAGCATCTATAAAATAAATTAAATACAAGCAATTATAATAAAATTCTTATAATTCTAAATTTCATATTAGAAAAACATCAGTTACAATTATCAAATTTATAATAAATGTCGATACTTCAATGACGTATTTTAGTAATAATTAATAGAATATTGATTAATGCACTTAAAAGGTTTGCAAAGAAAAAGGCTTATTAATAAAATAAAATAAAATTGTTTTTATCTTTGTTGCAATTACAAAAACTAATAACACGTGAACTAATTTTTAAGATAATTAAAAAAAAATCAGATACATTTAAACTAATGTTGTTGAATACAATTGAAAAAAAATGTTTATCAAAAATGTCTTAAAAAAAAAACAAACGATAATAAATATCTTGTTTTACACATTATCTAACCGAGTAACTTGTTTAATTAAAATGTATATAATGTATACGTAAGGAACCTTGCGGCAACGAGTATTGTTTATAAATATCACGAGAGGTCGTCATTATTGTTGACAAGATGAACACTCACATTAGCGTACGCATTTTGTCAAAATAATAGCCACAGAGTGATTTAAATTTTAATTGTTGGTTAATCTTTCATCAGCCAAGAAGTTATTTTCCTCGGAGTGTTACTTTTATTGAAGTACAAACTATATATTATTTCTAAAATGGTAAGATTTTTATTTTGTAGCATAATGTATTCTAAATTAAGTTTTTCTTTTTTTATTAACACTATTAACTTTAACAAACATTAGTTTACAGATTATATAAAAATCTATTTTGAATACTTTCATTTTGCATTAGGTAAATTATCTTTTAATATAATTCCACTTTAGTCGTAATAATAAGCAATTATGTTTTTAAAAACCTAATAAAGAAATCAACACAGTACAAGTACAAAATAATACTAAACTATACATTAAATTTAATTCATATTTCGTTAATTTATTTTATGATAACAGCATTTTTTTAACTCTTAACCCAATTATATTTTATAGCCTGTGTCAAACTCCTGTTCAGAACAAATAAATGGGATTTTATTTTAACCAACAAGATAATATTTTATTTAACTACCCACACACAGAAACCATATTTAAGACATAAGCAAACACATTTTTAAACTAGAATTGTCAATTTTAATCTTAATTTTATATACATCATCATTAAACAGAGCCTTCAGCTGCCATCATAAGATGGTTTCTTGACGAATTCACTATCCGGGATGGGTCGTGAGTCTGTCACCAGAGAGGGGATATCCTGCGGCTACTTTTAACCAAACGATTGCTCGCCCAGCATACGGAGCGTCTGTAACCAAGTGTCTAACCAGCGACATTGAGTGCTAACACGCTGCTGCCTTACCCACTCGGCCACTCCTCCTCCATATAATCTTTGTGTACATAATAATTTATACAACACACGTCATATTATATTATATCATTATTTATTGTTATGACATGTGTATAGTATAAAAAATATTATGTATACAAAGTTTGTACATTTTACTTTTAATAAGCAGATTGCTTTTGGATGATAAAAGTATTACACCTACTATGGGCAAATCGAAAAAAAAATATAGTACAGATTTAATGGAACAGAATTAGGTATTTAAATAATATTTTGGTCTTATGTTAAAAAAAAAATGTAAAAAAATTGTTTCAATAATTCGTGTAAAACTTTTATATTCTTAATACCTGTCTAAATATAACTTTGTTAATCGGGAACGTAATGCCAATGTTAATGATGGCTGCACCGCAACCACAAACAAACTCGGAGTATTCCTCTCGGTTAAGATGTTTGAAAATCGCCATTGCGCTTTTCTGTCAATGTCAGCTTATTTTATGTAGAAATAACATTCTAAAAAAACAAATAGTATGAACTAAATTAAATTATAAAACACTTAGGATTTTTGTTTTTTTCGCGATTACGATATTAACCTTTTAATGGACTAGGGTTGCGTTTAAACCGGTTTCAGATCGCCACAAAATGGCAATAAAAAAAAGACCATTAAACAATTGTCAAAATTAAAAAATTACTAGTAGACATTAATCACAACTGTACTAAATTCCGAGGTTCAAAAGTACGCTGAAGTCTGAACGCTTTTATCTCAAAAAAGAGTATTGAGATAATGTAATCAACGGAAATTTTGACTTGATCGCCTGTTTAAGAAGTAACCTCACTACCGCAACCGTGGTAGCAAGACTGACCATCTGAGGTTACCGTGGATGTTGTCACTCCGCCCGGGCCAGGCTGGTCGACGTAAACAAAATATATGACAACACTTGAAAGACGAGTTGTTGATTTGATTTCGTGGCAATCAGGCAATGACCAAAGTGCAGTCATAGTAGTAATTATACTGTTTAGTGTTTTTGACAGTAAGAATTGTACTTTAAATACGAGATTCAAGTGTCAACCGTTGACAAGATCACCTTTTTTTGGAGTTTACGAATTGACTCTTCGAAAGATATTAAATCGACGTGAGTTGTTTTGTTCTTGAGACGCACAAAAAAAAAGAAAAACAATAACACCTAAATGTTGTTTTGCTGTATAAAAAAAATGTATACAATATGTTTACTGAAAATGTGTTATGAATAGTTATTTTTTTCTAGTTAATAATAACGCGACAATTTGTTATTTGTTTGTTTATTTTATGTCATAGGCAAGAATGAGGAACTCTTCGCGTAGCAACAAACCCAAGGAGACCAACAAACAGAAAAAAGAACGCAAAAGAGAGTTTTTGGAAAACAAAAAAAATGTTGTCACCATTGTTCTACCGACGTTGGCAGTTGTGTTCTCCCTCATCACGCTATTCATCTATTTGAAGGTGCACCCCAACGCATTAAATTTCATGGCTTCTGAAAAATCTCTCTAATCAATCATGCTTAGTACTTACGTTTGTATAATTGCTAAGTGTTATCGTTAATGTCAACTCCATTCCTTCCATTTTTTTTTTAATACATCACTTCTCTCGAGTACGTCTGTGGTACGTTGATATTTTACTCTGTTATAAAAAAGTCTTGTACAACTCTGTTTAAATCAAATTTTAAATAATGTCCCGTAAATATTATGTGCAATATATATGTTACACATATTTAAATTTTTTTCGTTTTGAATAATAATTTTTTCCTCAAAGGATTACGATTTGTTTCGGCAATGTAATTGAAATTATATTTTTACCTACTTCATACATTTTATTGTTAAAAATCTGAAATATGTTTAATGTTGTTTTACGTTTAGTTTTTTAATTTTCAAATTAAATATATATATATTTATATATTTTATAATCCATTATGTGTTTTTGAATTTTATGACATTTTTGATTTTCAATTTAAATATTGTTAATCATATAACTTTTTTAAATAACTTATGTATTATATTATATTCTAAACATCATGTTGCATTGTGATGAATAATTACAATATTTTCTATTTATATATTATACAAAAAATCACTTATAAAATGTTTTAAGAAATATCACATGTTAATTGTTATTTTTATTAATCATGTTTTATTGTAATATGGATTAAAAGATTTTAATAAATATAATTGATTTATTCATTATAATTTAACAAACATTTTACTTTGCTAGTAATTATTATGTTTAGTTTTAATATATTATTTTAAATGCTAACCTGACCAGCATTGTTGTGGCCACTTTGAAATGGAGCATAATGTCTCTTCAGCTTTTTTTCTACGTCTTACAGTCCTATGCAATGAAATACTACCTTCTAATTTGGTGCAGTTTTTTAAAAAAAATTTTTTTAGTTAATTTTGAATCCAAATGAACTGTATACTTCAATCATGGTAACATTTATTAGGTAAATTGTAATATTTATGCAGTCTAAATAAATAAATTACCAAACAAATGTTGAGTAATAATAATAATATTCTTTAACTTAACTTAGTGACATAAGTAAAGTGTTTTTATTAAAAATGTTTTGTTTTTTAAAGATAATATTTTTAATATTACAACAACATTTTATTAATATAAGTATTACCTATATATTTTAGTGATATAATTTGAATTTATTACCTAAAATAAAAAAAAATAATAATATGTAATTATAACTTTTTTATTTGTTAAAATTGGGTTCCATTTGTTGATTCAACTGAATAATTGAACATTTGATTTTTGTTGTTACATTAAATATAATATGTAGAGAGTAGATTTTTAGGATTTAGCGTTATTTATTGGCTTGACGCAGCTCTATAGAGTTTGAAAGTATAGAAAATGTATTGACCACTAAATTCCTTGAAAAAACATTATTTTGCATATTATTAGACATTATTTTTTGATTTAGATATTTTTTCTAACAATATTTTACTGGTTTTTAATGGGATGTTAAGAGAATAGTTAAATTTTTATAATTGTATCTTTTTTTATTGTTGTAAATTATGCATGTTAGCGTCATAATTTGAACTTTTCAAAACCTAAAAATTTGCTCTCAAGCTATATAATGCAATATTGAAAAATCAATCGTTGATTTTTTTTTTTTTTTCAAACTTGGGAGACTCCTTTTTTTAAACCCTCAAAGATCGACCAACAAGTGACGTTTTATAAATTTAGTATCCAAAAAGGAGTTGGGGGGGTATTTCTTCCAAAAAATGATAACGTGACATTTTTTTGCAAATTGTAGTTAGATCTTTATCAATTCTCTAATTAATCGTGTATTCACTATACACGTAAAATTATAACGAGTGTGAAGTTAGCCATAAACGAGCCAGCAATATTTGATAACAGAAAGTGTCATGGCGTTGATGTATGTTGTGTTGCCAATATACTAAATATTCTAAGGGGCAGTCCATATATCCACGTACACCGACGATTATTATTATACGATATCGACTTAATTAATTAAAATATATTCTAATTATCGACAAAACAGTAAGAGTATATTATTTAACTTAAAAAAATGGCACTTGGGGTTTTGCGGCCGCCGAACCCAGCCAAGCAATAAAAAAGCGGCCGAACGCCGACCGAAACCGGCGGCAGTTATGTCAATTTTTGACAATGTTCCGTTTCTAAATTCGTTTCTATGAAATAAGTTGGCACCGGGGGTCTTGCGGCCACCAGAAGCCGCCAAACCCAACCCTGCAATAAAAAAACCGGTCGACCGCCGACCGAAATCGGCGGCAGTTATGTCAATTTTTGACAATGTTCCAGAAGAGGTCTCCTCAATTTGATTATACCAATCGAAAGCTAACTAAAATGTCTAAAAATTCGTATCTATAAAAAAAGTTGGCACCGGGGGTCTTGCGGCCACCAGAAGCCGCCGAACCCAACCCAGCAATAAAAAAGCGGCCGACAGCCGACCGGAACCGGCGGCAGTTATGTCAATTTTTGACAGAGTTCCGGAAGAGGTTTCCTATATTTGATTATACCAATCGAAAGCTTACTAAAATGTCTAAAAATTCTTTCTTTCTTTCTTTCTATCTTTTCTTAAAAAAACTAGAAAACTAGAAAAATTAGAAAAACTAGAAAACTAGAAATCTAGAAAAACTAGAAAAAATTGAAAAACTAGAAAAATTTAAAAAACTAGAAAAACTAGAAAAAAATTGAAAAACTAGAAAAAATTGAAAAACCTGAAAAATTAGAAAAACTAGAAATCCTTAAAAAATTGAAAAACTAGAAAAACTAGAAAAAATTGAAAAAATTGAAAAACTAGAAAAACTAGAAAAACTAGAAAAACTAAAAAAATGAAAAACTAGAAAAACTAGAAAAAATAGAAAAACTAGAAAAACTAGAAAAACTAGAAAAAATTGAAAAACTAGAAAAAATTAAAAAACTAGAAAAACCTGAAAAACTAGAAAAACTAGAAAAATTGAAAAACTAGAAAAACTAGAAATCCTTATAAAATTGAAAACTAGAAAAACTAGAAAAAATTGAAAAACTAGAAAAACTAGAAAAACTAGAAAAACCTGAAAAACTAGAAATCCTTATAAAATTGAAAAACTAGAAAAACTAGAAAAAATTGAAAAACTAAAAAAACTAGAAAAACCTCAAAAATTGAAAAACTAGAAAAAATTGAAAAAATGTTGGTTCTCTAGTTGGTGTGCGAAAACAAATACGCCAATCCTGAACCGGGAACGGTGATAGACAATACTGTGACCAGGAGGAATTATTTCGACTTCTTAAATAATCGATTTAACTACAGTACTCGAATTGGAAAAATAAAAGTAGAGCTGTAACCTTTACAAGTATAATACGTTAATTATTTAGGAAGTAAAATAAGTAATAACGGAAGATAGTCTAATTAAAGCAGACGTAAAATGTTGTTGTAATTAAAATTTTACATAAAAAAAATACAATTACCCGCATTTCTTACATAAAATATAATTGATTATGAAAATCTAACTGTAAAAGAACGGAAAAATTAAAAAAAATCCTCTCTTGTGAAAGTCTTTTTGACATGGTTTGAGTTGTAATTGGTTTTAATGGTTGAAATCTTTGTCATGATTCAATGGATATGTCCAAAGAATAACTGAAAAAATACTACTCCGACCCTTTTCGCAATACTTTGTATTGAAAATAAGACAAAGACATTTAAAGCAAGATATTTTGACATTTTTTAATTTATTCATTTGTAAAAATAGTAACAATACATTAAAAAACAATTAATATAATTAATACCGATAGTTTAGTATCTTGTGATTTCAAATAAAATTTACACTCTAAAATTTAATGGCTCAAACATTTTTTTTAAAGTAGTTTTTTTTAAATAATTACTCTAATCCATAAAAAAATTTAATACCTATACTAGAATATTTTTCATACAAATTTTGTCAAAAGGAAAATGGCATAATTATATATTGATTCCAACAGCCGACGACGAATAGATAGCAGTCAAAATTAGGACAAATTTAAATGTTCTTGTTGCTTAATAAATATATATATTTATATAATTATAAATGTAAAGTGACTAATTATAATGGTTATATGTAACTCTTAAATATAAAGTTTATAAATTTAGAATTAACTACAATAATACATAACAAATCAAATAGAAAGCTAGTAATAACATGCATTGGATTAATAACAACAAAACATGAAAAACAATAACAAATTATAAAAAATATGCTGCTGTATCACAGTAAAAATTATATAATAAAAAAATACAAAATGTGAAGAGAATTTTTTTTTTTTTTACTGAATTGTAGAAAAATATTAAATGAACTATTATTCCACACAATACTTTTATCGTTGATAAAATTAAATTTATTTGATTAAAACCAAAAAAATGTTTATCTTATTGGTAATTTTTTAAATAATGATATGTTTTAAACATCAAATGGCTATTTAAAGTTATGAATTGGTTTAGGCAAGCATTGGTAAAAAAAAAAATTAATTAAAATTTTGTTTTATTCAATTTATTTTAATTGTAAAAATATTTAGAAGGATTTGCTTAAGATTAAATAAAGACTGCGATGGTTAACCAACTTAAAATAAAATCATTTTAAAAGCTAATTCTTAGCCGATCAATATTATGACTTCCTTGAAATAAAGTATACTAACATATAAATATTGTAAAATTAGTTTACCAATAATTAATTCATTACTGTCTTACAATAAATTATAAATATATTTATAAAAGTAAAAATATGTTTAATTATTAATAATTAACCTTTGGACTTAATTATTAATAATAAGTATTTAAGTCATCATTACATATAAGGAACTAAAATATTAAAATACACAACCAATAGAAAGATGAGATTTATATTGCACTAAAATTGACACGTCAAAAAAAAAACAAACACGAATGTGTCACAATGACAACTCGATTGTCATTTCAATATTTAAAAGTTGAATACCACTTTTGTTTTTTTTTTTTTTTTAATTAAAAATGATATACAATGTGTATCAGTGCAAAATTATATATTATACGAATGCCATTTGTTTTCTAGGCGTTCTTGTTAACCTTCTTTGTAATTGCCGTTCAATTAATTTTTTTACTTCCGACACAATAAAAACACTCGAAGTTACCCCCAATAAAAGCAACATATCTGAAAAGCAACAAAACGCAAATTGAACAATTAAACATGAATAATAATTGTTTTTAAAAAAAACTTACCATACGACGTGAGCGCTTCAGTTTGAAATACTTTTTGTAACGGCGGAAAATAAATCACCAGCATTTGTCCGACGATAGACAGTGTGACGGCAATTAAAAACATTTTATTTGTAAATAGACCTATTGTAAATACTGATTTTGTCTGGAAAAAAGTTATCATAAATGTATTTTTCTATTTAACTTTTAATCTAAAAAATATGATAATATATTATTTTACCTGCGATCGACAACTTAAAGCATTGAACATGTCAAAAAAGACAAAACAGGTGAAAGTCATAGTTGTGTCCCTTTTGGATACTTCATTGTCGCTCATCTAAATTTAAAGATATTAAATTAAAACCAGAAAGCATTAATATCAATCACTCTATTAATTATGTAAGTTATAGGTAAGTAACTCAACTTATGTTGATACTTCAGCATACCCCTTCTATTTTATTTTTATTTTACATTATTTCAACACAAAGTTTTGGAGAAAACAGAATGTATCTAATGCTATTTAACTTGTTGACTTATTTATACTAAGCGAGAAAACTTTATAAAATTCAAAAAAAATTTAAATTTTTTTAGACTCACTTCTCGTTTAAAAATCCAAAGTGTTCCGACAATAATTATTGACGCTGATAGAAGGACATTCATTATAAGCGACTTTGTAATCATTGGTGTTTTCACATTTCGAGGACCTTGTTTCACGACATCTTTATCGACCGGTTCAACTCCAAGACTGAAGCAGTAATCATTTTATAACTAATTAAACCTTTTTTTTTTTTATTGTTATGTGTAATTAATTGTCAATACCTTTGAGCTGGTGGTCCATCCATTATGATGTTAATCCACAATATTTGCATTGCATTTAAAGGATTAGGTATTCTGAGCAATGTGGCTAATGCAATCAATGATAAAGCTGCAATGCTAGTGCTAAGCTGAAATCGAACAAAATTCCTTATATTGAAAAATATTCCTTTTCCTTCTTCAATAGCTGCAACAATTGTCTGAAAATCGTCATCGACCAGTATCATGTCTGCCGCTTCTTTACAAACATCTGTGCCATTTTTGCCCATAGCAATTCCAATGTCCGCTTTTTTCAACGCTACGCTATCGTTGACACCATCGCCAGTCATGCCGACCACGTTTCCATTCGATTGTAACGCCTAAAAATTGCACACACCTAATTTAATAATAGCTGATTATATAAAATCAATCGTAATAAACAAATTCAAATATTTTACCTTGATAATTGTAAGTTTGTGTCGTGGTGTGACACGATAAAAAACAGAAACATTGTTGACCATTGCTTTAAGTTGGTGGTCGGACATATTATCTATTTGCTGACCAGACAACGTCTGTCCATGTATCATGTCCAGCCCAATCATGCTTCCTAAAACCACAAAAAATATTCTCATGGTAATTTTTTCATTTTATTTTGTCGTAATTAAGCAAATAATAAAATAAATAAACGCAGGCTTGTTTGACTTATTTGTCAAACAAATTAGGTATTTGCTTGTTTGATAGAAATCTGGATTGACAGCGTGTTTGTTGCGAACGTTACGCCACGGCAAGGAGAAAACAAAAACTACGGGCAAGTTTGACAAATTTGTTGTATCTTTGGTTTGATCGTTTGAACTATTGTTTGATGAAAACGTGAAAGTTGACCAACAAAATTGTCAAACAAATTTGATCGTCTACAGGCTACTTAAAAAGTGAAATAAAAAAAAGTGTCAATCCGTTCCAGAGGAGGGCAAGAGTTAATGTAATTTTGTTGGGTACATTGAGTATGTACATCGATAGAAATCTAAAGAATATACAACACAAGTTTGGAAGTAATTGGATTCAATTTCAAAAAGTTATAAAGTGCTGTAATTTTAAGTTACAGTTAAGTCGTGTACATTTTATGGAGTTTTCCTCGATTTTGAAGAGAAGGGCAGTGTAACTTTCTTTATTTCCGCCCTCATAAAATACCTTTGCAGTACGATATCTGATCTATATACTTGCTAGTTAAAGAAAAATGTGTCCGGTAGTTAAACAAATTTTCTTAACATTACATCGAAACTTAAATGCAATTAATTAAACAATTATCGTTGTTTTACCTATAGCTACGGCAGTTTCTTGAGCGTCTCCGGTAACTAGTTTGACTTTGATTCCACAGTTAAATAGATGTTCAATAGATTCACGAACTAACGGTTTTGGAGGGTCACAAATTCCTACTAAGCCCAAATATACTAAATCTTGTAAGGAATCTCCTTTAGCTAATGCAATTACTGTGTAAAAAAAATGAAAAAAATATTATCAGCAGTTTTTTAAAGGTTTATTGAATCGTAAAATTTAGTAACATACCACGAAGACCTTTTCTACCAATTTCGTACGCTTCAGCAAATATTTCTTGTTCCCTTTTGCCGTTCAATAATACTTTTTCATTTCCCACAGCATACTTAGTACATTGTTTCAATACTTTTTCCAATGCACCTTTGACAAAATAAAGTTCTTCTTTTACCTGAAAATTAATATTTTTAAGAGTTAAATCAATTTTACCTAATTTAAATATTTTAAAATGTCTTACATCATCATATTTGTTTACACATTTAACGGCCATAAGTTTTTGCTCCGAACTAAATGGATACTCTTGCAATTTTATATACTTATCACAGACACCATACATTCTATTCTACAAAATTAAACAAACAGTTTTAAATAAGATTTCCACATTAGAATATGAGAAAAATAGTAATAATAAACATTAAAATAAATGATCACCTTCATAGCAACTGCCAATAGAGCACCTTCAGTAGGTTGTCCTTGTAATGTGTCTCCATTAATAACTGCATTGTTGCATACAACTCCTACCTTGAACATAAATATTATGTTATTTTGATGACAAACATTTGTTGAAATAGTGTGTAAAAACACGTGGCAATATTAACACACTAGATAACGTCATCTCGCCAATTTTTTTAAATATTATTACTAATATTAAATTTTACTTTACGTTCAAAACTAAACTTCTTAATTTAAACAACAATAACAAATAATTTTAGTGTAATAAAACTTACTTCAAGTAAATTATAAATTGATTGCTTAGCTGTGTCCGAAGTAAACGATTTCAACAACTGAACTTCGCCTTGATCATTGTAACCAGTGCCGGACACCTAAAATACCATTATTATAAATACTATTATCAATCTAAATTATTTTCCCCCAAATCGGTAATATTTTTCTTCCAAAATCATGTTTAACATTGTTAATGGAAAAGAGCATTACATAAATGTTTTGATGAAATATTCTTATCGGTACTCACATCAGCGTAATACCCGTCTGAAGTAATAATTGTGGTTACGGTCATTTCATTATTTGTAATAGTGCCAGTTTTGTCAGAGCATATGATATTAACGCATCCTAAATACAAGTAGGTAAGACAATTAACAAATCGGAAAAAACATGTTTTTTGAGATATTTAGAATTAATGTGTGAGATTACCCAAAGTTTCAACTGTTGGTAACTTTTTAACAATTGCTTTTCTGTTAGCCATACGCATAACGCCAAGAGCTAACGTAACAGTGACCACTATTGGTAATCCTTCTGGTATTGCAGCTACGGCCAAACTACTCGAAACAATCAAAATATGCATTGCTTGAATTCATTATAATTAATTACCTAAATTTACAAAAACTTACCTAACACCAATTGTGAACATGTCTAAGATTGGACGGCCCTGAATCCAACCAAGTACCATGATAAGACCGATAATAAAAAACGAGTACACCGACAATTGAGTACCTAGTATATCCATACTGTTTTGCAGAGGAGTTTTGGGTGCTTCTTCACTTTGCATCATTTTAAACAATTCTCCAAATTCTGATTTTTCTCCAGTGTTGACTACAATACCTTTTCCGTTTCCACAACGTACTAGCGTACCCATAAAAGCTATATTTTTCATTGACGTATGACTCATTGGATTCAATACTAAATCGGTAGTTTTCATACAAGGCTCGGTCTCTCCAGTAAAACTGCTCTCATCTATTGCTAAATCTATAGCCTAAAATAATGTTGAATTATTGTTTAAAACTGATTAACTATTTTATACTTAAAATTCATCAACATAATCAGAGTATTGAGAGATATATCGTACTTCAAAAAGCCGTATGTCAGCTGGAACTCTATCGCCAGTACTTAAATAAACAATATCACCGGGTACTAAATATTTTGCATACATTGATTCCAACTGTTGTTCACGTAAACTATAGGTAAATAAAAAACAATATAGAATTCGGATTCAGATTCAACCAAACCACCAAAAAAAATAGATGTATTTTGGTTGGTGTTTCAGAAAAACGAATAACTATTTTGAGTAAAAAATATTAATAAACACTAATCGGTTTTATACCATACAAAATCTTCCCCCGAGAGAAGACTCAAAGTTTTTATTTTTAAGTTTCATTTGAAAAACTTTGACAACTTACCATCGACATGTAGGAGGAACAAGTTTAGTTAATTCTTCTAATGACTTTTCAGATCTATATTCTTGTATGAACGCAACTGTTACTACAATAATTATAGCCTAAAACAAAAAATAATATTAATACATTAATTTAGCTCTTATTTTGAAGACAGATAAGATTGGAATGTTCAATTTTGTAGTAGTATATTTTGAACGATACATACTGTTGTAATACTGAAGGCATCATCAAATTGTTTCATGCAGACGCTGACGAGAGCCGATGCTAATAAAAGGAGTATCAATGGATTTCTAAACTGAAAATGACAAATATTTTCAAATTACATCATAAATATTAACAAAACTAATAATAATTATGTAAAACCCTTAAGTACATTAATATAAAAGAAATTTAATAAGTAATATGCATAACTTTTATTTATTTAATGGTTGAGCTTTATGGTTGTATGTCTTGTTCCTATTGTAGTACATTCCGCAATTATGTTTCAATACAAAAATGTGGGTTTTTAGAATATTTGTAAACCTAACTATACATTTATATACTTTTTTAAACTAAACATTAGGTAGATCTGGGATACTATAAATAAAAGCACAAGACACTTAGAGTGGATAAAGAAATTGTAAAAGATAAAAAAGAAGAAAAAATCAAAGTGGCCGACTCACTAACCTACTTTTCTTCATTACGACCAAAAAAATAAAAAATCCTATGAAAGCTTAATAACATTATATGAAACAAATTAATATAAAGAAGAAGTCATCTCAATTTGGATTTCACATTAAGATAATATTTAAAAGTTCATGGAATTACCTATACATTCTTTTTGTATGAGAATAATTCATAGGAAATGTTTTTGTTGTTAAAATACTTGTATTTATACATAATAAATTGACAGAAGTGTTAAAACTTACTTGTTCTATGTATTTTTTAAGCAACGAGTCTCCTTGATGAACAGAAAATTCATTATAGCCGATTATTTGCTTTCGGAATTCTGATTCTTTCCGACACAATCCAGCTCGAAAATTAACTCTTAACCTAGATATCACTTCTTCTGAGCTCATGACGCTCGCTTCTTTAGTTGTAAGCCACATTTTTTCGTGTTCAGCTATTGCCTAAAATAAAACCCATGAATGATTTTTTTGTACAACAATATACCATGTCACACATTAAGCATACACAGTTTGATCCTGTCGAGCTACAATTTGATTCGTAGTCTATAAGTGAATGTAATGATTCATTGCTAATTTTTTTAACTACTTTATATTTTGAGTTCATTATAGTGAGATATTAGTGTCGAATCACAAGATCCATAATGACTCCAGAAAATATATTAAGCGAAAATAAAACGTGTCAATAATTGACAAAATATGTACTGTAATAATTTGACCGAATGCACTTAATAAATAATGTACGCCATAAAAATTTAAATATAAATTATAGTCATGTACGTATTAATCACTAATTATTTACAAAAAAAGTTTCATTGTTCGCGGTTTACAATAAAAAACGGTTTTCATTTGTTAACAATAATCAAAAATATTGAAAATTAATTGTTATTTGTTATCATTTATGGACGCGGCTGACTGCCAAGTGCCATTGCACTTTATCAAAATTATCGGACAACATAACAGACGTTACCAGTTACCACACTGCCAATAATCGACCCAGTCCACTTATGGTTACAACCATGTGGTTATTTATATTATCTTAAATCTTGATTTTACCATTAGCTATTAGGAAATAAAGAAATTAGGATTTTCATTCAATAATAAAATATTAACATACTTAATACTTATTATTTTACTTGATTGAACTTAATTGAAAAATAAACTTTGTTCAGACCCAACTTGTTCTTTAGTTCTATCACTGATACCAAGTTCTTTATTTAAAAAAAACACGAATACAAGTTTTTTTTTAAGTACCCACTGTCAAAGTTCAGAATATTTTGTTTTATGTTTTTTGTTTTAGTAATGAAATATCAACGTCGGCTCGTGACATAATTAGCATTATTATCGCATTATGCGATAAAAACTAGTTAGTACTTAATATGTTTATAAGAGTACATAATACAATAATTTATATATATATATATATATACAACTATTAAAACAGCAGACGGCGGACTTACTCCTTGTCAATATGGTATATAGCCGAAATGATTTTGCAAATATTTTCGACTTACTCATAAATATTAAAATACTGTACATTTTTATGGTGCTGCTTCTAGTGTTATCACGTCATAAAAGAATAATGACTGAAAATAAAATCGAATTTTCTCCGTACGCGAAAGTCAATCACGTCGCAATACTACGTCATAATGTTCTGTGGAAGTAATATTTCAAAGAAAAATATTTGAATTATATAGTTGCCCGTTTTTATTTGTTTACTTAGAAAAAAAGAACGTTTTAAGTTGTACGATAATTACACAATTACTAATATTTTTTAGACGAAATAGAATCAATGTCTAAAGATAACGTCATTTAAATGTGCACTCCCTGATAAAAGCCTTCTACTTTCTAGTCGTTAAAAATAAATTAGATGTATGGCCCATTATTCCTTGCAACGAACAAAAAAATAGGTTTTCAACAAGGACATTTATCTTAAATCGTTGTACCACCTATCTAATTCGAATATAAGTCACTATTATTTGTGTTCACACCTAAGTGTGAAACTATTTTTCTTTTTCATTTCTAAAAATGAAAAAGAAAAATAATTTTAAAAAAAGACCAACTTAGCTTGGTTTATGACTAGTTTTTGGCAAAGGTTAATGTCAAACCTTTTTTGTGTGGTTAATACTTAATTTCCACACCAATATATTACTTTACCTAATTCTTTTTTAATGAATACATATTTGTTCCTACATTCATATCACTTAAATAAATCATTCTAATCATCGTAGAGAGGTCAAAAATTAATTTATAGACAGGCAACATAAAATATAATTTTAAAATAAATTAAACAAAACTAACCTCTTGATCTTTAATTTTTCTCATTTTCTTCATTTCTTTTTTCTGAAACAAAAATTTAAAAAAAAATCATGTACCCGTACATTGCAGTTATTATTATAATTTATATTTGATAACATAGATTAATATTTATAAATTAAATATTGAAAACCCAAACGTCTTTGAATTAGCTTGATAAGATATTATAATATTAACATTTCGCTCGTTTAACATTTCGCTAATCCACCCAAGATGTTTATAATTCAATTGTTGTTGTATTTCTAAAACAGAATATATTATTATTCATTGTTGAAACTTAAAAACCGTAAACGACCATAAATGCAGAGACAAATCTATACATCGTGTCACTTTTTCTTTTACTAGAATTAAAAATATACAATTTGCTTCTAAGAATAAAATACTTACTTAATATTTACTGCGTACTATTAAAAAAATGTTCGAAACAGCCAATCGAAATTTAAATTCAGCAAATGACATTTTGGCTCATTATGTTTCATTGTTTGACAATATGTTATAAGAATAGGTATGATGGAATTATTATATCTTATAATCCCGTAAATACATAAATAATGGCGTTTCACAGCTTATTGTTAAGAAAAATACATTTTTTTTTTAGAAAACTGCGGGGCCCTAATTAATTAAACGTAAGACCTCATTTTCTCTCAAAATAATTGCAATTTTGTAGTTTTTTTTAAGAAATGTTTCGGTTTTTTTTATAACACTAGTATACATTTTTACCTTTTCTTATTTTTTTCCAAAGCTCTATGAACTTTTAAAACTTAAATGGTAACGTATACATTTAATTAAGTTTTAAGGTTGAGAATAATTTGCTGAAAATATTGACTGGTTAATGGGTAACCAGTTTTGGATAATTCACTTTAAAGTTTAAAATTTAAGACAAGAGGTGAAGTGCGGTTCAGTAACGCGCGCAGATAAAAATAATAATACACTCCATCTGGTTCCTCCTGGCTTTTGTTCTAAATGTTAAATTTTAATAACTTTATATGTAATTATCCAAAACTGGTTATCGTCTATTTAAAATATTCTTAGTTAAAAATTATAATTTAACACATGCGTTACCATTAAAGTTTCAAAAGTTGATAGAGCTCTGGGACAATAGTAAAAAAGTTAAATATTTATTGCATTTATAATATTTTAAAACAACATAGGTACATAAAAAGTTTTCAAAAAGAAAACCTACAAAATTGTAATTAATTTATTAAAAAATAAATGTGTCTTGCGTTAAGTTGATCATCCTGTATAATTATCATAATAATTAATTAAATATTTAAAAGTTTATATTTATCTGTCAGTTGTTCCTAAATAAGTTTGTTACAAATTAAATGTCATCAATAAAACAATAGTGTTCGTTGGATATTATTCTTATGCTACTTACTATGTTTTGTATTAATCGTATTTGTTATATTAATTGATAGCCGACTTTTTTAAGTATAGAAGTGATTTTTAATACCTATCTTAAACAAGTTAAATCATAATAAGTATAATGACTGTATTATAACGTGATCAAAATGTAGTTACAAACGCTTTAAAATCATATGTACTAAATATGTAAAATATATTTTAAAACCTTGATACATGATACAACTACTTAAAAATTAAACTAACCTCTTGTTTTTTGTTTTTTTTTATTTTCTTGGTCGGCTTGTCTTTAATTTCCTGGAAAAAAAGAAAAATGATTAATATTACATTTCTATAGGATTAATCAAGTTACACTAGTAAAAAGTTATACGGTATACTAGATTTCAAACTAAACGTTTGCGATGGACTACGACTTAAGAATAAATAAATAGTACAGATAAATGAGAAAAGTTTAAGTAAATATATTAGATTACATCAAGACCCTTTTCTTCAAATAGTATGCAAACATTTTTGTCGGATGACGTAGTTTTGATGTAAACAAAGTAAATCAAAACAAATTTTGAAAAAAGCATAATTACAATTTTCTCTGACATAATAACACATGAGTTCCCACTTAAAAAAAAAATATGTACAAAATATTACTATTTTTTAATTTTATTTTTATTGTTATTTTTAGAGAGTTGTGCACACTGCACTGTCATGTGCAATGCCTCTAGACATTCCCAATAAAAAAATTAAAACTTAATATGAATTACATTTGACATTATACTTAACATAAAAACTATAAGCACGTGTGCAAACAATTTATACAATTACCAATGAATGAATTAAGTTTAAAAAAAAAAAAAGCCATTACTGTTGTAATATTAATTTATAGGTTGTTAATAAGTCGACAAAAATTTTTTTTTTGAAATCTGTTCAACAGACGTGTAAAAAAATGACTACAGTAGTATTAATCTTACTACTGACTTTTACTAAACAATTATTGTTTTCTTACACACTTGTTGTATTGTTATTTTTATTATTATTAACACACTGACAAAGAAATGAACAAATAATTTAATAAGCATAAATTAAATCAGAAGTTCTTTATTTTGTATAAACTTGTTATATTATAAATTATGTCATAAATTAATAAATTGGCGAACATAAAAATATTTTTATTTAAATTTATTTTTATTTTAAAAAGGTGTACCAAAAAAACAACACGCGTGTTGGGGTTTGAAAAATACTTATAACTAAATTTAAAAAACGCAATACAAATGATCACACTCTATTATTTAGTTTATAAGTTTTGAATCTTACAATAAAATTAGTTCCTAATAAGTAATAATACACTCTTGGTATATCGTTATTCAATATTCATTTTGGGCCATTTTAGAGAGAAACAGCTATTAACTATAACAACAGTACAATAGGCTTGCTTGAAGTCTAAAAGTCTATTAGGTTGCCAAATAACCCCGCATGCAATACACTATAACCACAAGTGTCGTTTAAGTTTTTTCTAGATTCCAATGTTTGCACACAACGTGTAGAATGAATACAGCTACTAGGTTTCTATTACTAAGTACAACTGACTACTGAATTTCTTAAAACACCTGTGCACTATGCTGTCGATATGTTTAGGTACAATAAGAGATTATATTTTTGTTTTATACAAAACAAGTCTAGTGTATTAATGTGATAAAATAGTGGGTTGTGAAGTCATAAAAACCAACTTTAAGAACATCGAATATAGTTCAGAATTTACATTTTGATTTTGGAAGCATTCAACGTTTAACGTGTAGCCTTGTATATTTTAAATATACAAGAAAATGTCCAACGTGGCACACGTCTATTGTCTGGAATAAACTATTTCAGTTTTAGGTCACAAATAGGTAATTTCTAGTGAACTACGTGAATCAGCTTTTATATTTATAAATATATACCTAGCAAGGATCCGTTCAGAGAACTATAGGCAGATTGAATATAGTGGTGTTTTCTAATACCTATGCAAGCACAATTTAACAGTTCATTAACGTACTTAGTATTCTGTTGTTAGCTGGCTAAACAATGAAGATACCAGCAAGACGCCGCTCCCTAGGTGGACGCGTTTGAGTTATTACTAATTATTAATTGTTGAACGTCTTTTTTAAGTTCTCGCCTAAAGAAAATCTACTTGAGAAGAACACTGCGTATACGTGTATATTTTATACTAGGCAGGTATTATCTTCATAATATTATTATTTATTACAAAGAAGTCATTAAAGTATACAAATGATGAAAATCACAAAGCATAGCGAGCGAGGGGACATATTGTAATACCCAAGTGATATAGTACCTAGTTATTGACTAAACAATACATATAGTATACGGAGTGATAAATTCAACGTGATATACTTGGATTTCTCGGAAAATAATTGCAATTTTGATTTTTTGTGCAAATACTTTAGTACAAATAATCATTTTCAGTCCATCGGTCCGTTAAGGACCATTGCTGTCCCACCAGCAAGTCTCTCCACCTGTCTTTATTATACGTCATCTCAAAGGACGCATTCTGATCTAATCTTCTCTCATAATACATCAATCCACCAACTTTTTTTATCAATCAGGCATCCGCTCTCCAGGCAAATCTCTCTAACAAAATCATTATAATCGTTTTCCGGCTTGTTGTATAATTTTGTAGCTCCTCGTTTTGTCTTATCTCAAACTCATTCGTTTCTTGATTGTAAAAAGGACCATGCATGTACTTTGTATTCAAATGTTTTTCATTTTCTCTCGTCTCCTTTTGATAATGACCATGTCTCGCTTACATATATCACGATTGATCCCACAGGTAGATAGTTACTAGCAAATGTACTTTGTTTTTTTATTGATCCATTGATTAACTGGTCTAAAATTGTTTGAACCACATCCTCTCTAGTCTCTCCCATAACTACAATATTATGTCAGGAATCAGGATAATATGACAAGAGCACCGACTCTCTACTTGTTTCTCTTTCTCGTTCAACATTCATATCTCTTAAAACTCTATCAAGTGCCAAATTTAATAAAGTCCGTGATAGAGCACCTCACCGGCGAAAGTTTTACGTCATCTCAAACGGTTCCGAATCATTTTGTAGAAATCTTACTTTAGACATTATCTCCTGATGACACATAAAATTAATAGGTATTAGATTAAAATATTTCGGAACTCCAAGTGTTTTAAACGCTTTGCATAGGTCATCTGTATTTATACTGTCATAGACCTGTTTGTAATCTATAAATACTAAGTACAAGTCTATTCCAAATTCATAGTACCTTTCCATTATCTGTCTCGCCACAAAAATATGGTCGGTATTTTATTTGCCGATAATGTCCCTGGCATACTCTTTTATTCTTGCTAAGAGTACCCACGTTAAAACTTAATAGGATACCTACGACTAACAGAGATATTCCTCTGTACCTTTTTGTTTCTGCACCATTTCCCTTTTCAGATAATGGGCAAATTATGGCCGTGTTCCATTCATCCGAGATACTTCTCTGTTTTCCATACACTTTTGATCGCTTCCATTTTTTTTTTTAATGTTACTCTACTATAATTATAGGTGTACTATAACAGGAAAACGTGTATTCTACTTTAGAACGATCGCCCTGTACATTGGTTGTCCAATTAGTGGCTACCGCTAATTTCACGCTTATTGGGGAATGATAATAGAAAAGTTATTTAAAGATTCCGTTTAATATTGTTAGTTTTACTATTATTTTGTCAGAATAGTATTTAAAACTTTGACCCAACTCAATAACCCTGTAAAATCCACCCTAAAATCAATAACCTTGTTGTAAAGGATTTACCAAAAAAGTATACTCACTTTTGTTATATCTTTAACTTCTGCAATATCATGGTCGCTGGTTACTTTATCTTCGACTTCCTATACAAAAATTCAAATATATAATGAACTTATACACGTACAAAGTAATATAAATCAAGATAATAATAATAACACTACAGTTATTATAGCGTGTGTCTTATGTCTCAAGTAAACACTTAAAATGAACAATATAATTATATACATTCAATATGCATGCCACTAATGATTATCACGGAATTTGTAATTCCAACAAAAATACTAGAATATAGTGTTTATATTTTTAGCTTGGATGTTATTATTATTTTAACATAGTATAATACTACAAACGTTGTGTAATTAACATAACTTTTATAAAAACAATTTACAGAAACATTATAAATGATTTGTAAATGTAAACTCTAGATCTAATTTTTAATTTCTTTGTAATTTAACGTTTGATTAAACCAACACAAATTGATTAATAAACAGAATTATAAAAACCTATTTAAATAAATAATTGGTTGTTGATGAGATAAAAAGAATAATATTATGTTATTCTACATGATACATCATGCTTAAAAATGATAATTCTGTCTACCATAGTTATTTATATGGATTTCTTTCTTGCAATCGAATGATTGTTTTAAGCACCTCGTTTTAGTGTTATACTTATGAGATATTTTCTTAAGTGCCAACACGAAATTTTATCCTTGTGAGACAATAAAAAAGCACTAATCACGGCACGCCATTTAAGACATAAGTCAAAGGAACTCGCGCTATCACAGCGATTAACTTACAACAATTAAAACATATTAAAATAACGATAGATAGTACATGAATATTTTTTTAGTGCTTAAAATATATTTGTAAAATTTTAATAATAAATTGCACTCGGTCAAAGGTAATTGATAATAATATATAATGACATAAATAATGTCAATTGTGTAATTGTACAGATGTTATTATGCTTCTACTTAAATATAATAATACCTAATACATTAAATATTGTTCTGTTATTTATTGGGTTACGAGAAAATCAATAATTATTGATGTTCAGTTTTAGAAACCGATTGACATTATTATAGTTTCGGCGTTAACTAAATCCTTGGTTTGTCATCACATTAAAATGTCGTTGGAAATGAAGAACACTTTTACAACACATGTGACAACAAAATGTTTGTAAAACTTATTTTTCACGTTGGCGACTGACGGTTTGTTTGGGAATTAGAGCCAAAGGGAAAAGAGTTTCATCATAAGTGCAATTAGAAGTATCTCTTGAGTACTTGTGTACGCGGACATCGCCATGTAAATTTTAAACGAAACGAGCTCTTACAAAAAACCTACTAGTCTCTAAAAATAGTTAACACTATAACCCACTTAAGTATTTGCACGTTCGCCCATTAGTAGGAGTGGAGACATTCCTCTGATTTGTCAAAAACATCATCAAATTAACAATAATAGTTGTATTTTTAATGCACATGCTAAAGTGAATATGGCGAGATATAAATAATAAAAAATATAATTTCTATTTTTAATAGTAGAAAAAAAATATGTTATTGCCAATCATATTATTTTTGTTGTGGTATGAGAGTAGTTTTATACTTACTAGTGTGCCTATTTATTAATGCTTTTGGAATAAACAAAATTTGAATTTACAAAATGAGCAATTGTAAAACATATTAGGAAAGACTTATTCATTGCTGTACAAATAAAAATATGTTTACATTTTGGGTTTAAATTATTTTCAACAAAAAAAATTACCTACACTGAACCCTTAAAAAAAATGATGTGTTGTCCTCTTATCAGCACTCACGGAAATAATATAAAATACAGCATCTACTTCCTTAGCTTTGTAGCTATCGAAGATAAAAATATTGTTTTAGATAAAATTTATTACCGCCATAATATTAGGCGGTACATGAAATAGGAAAATCGTATCAAAATAGTACCGTTTACCCATTGGTTGCATGCAAATGTATTTTTAATTTCATAGCTGTGACAAAAACTGAGTTTTTTTTAAGTTTGATCTAATTCATTATTCATCTCTCATGCAACTTTTACACTTCGTTGCTTTCAAAATTTAAAACCGTGGTTTTAAAATGATGTCGAATTTTACTAAACACAAGTATGTAAAAACAAAATATACGCGACATTTTTCAGCAGTCGAATAATAAATAACCATCACGAGTTACCGGTTACAGCTGCTGTATAGATGAAGCTGAATAAAATCCATTGACATACAGTGGGTAAAAAAAGTCTCCGTACACTGTTGTCAAATTTTTTCAAAAACATAAAATGATAATTTAAAAGTTGATTAACTTCATATTTTTAACACACTTTTATTCAGAAACATATTAATATTTGTTTTTAGAAAAATAGAGCATATATATTAATTAGTTTTTTTTATACATGTATATATGTACAACAACTTTGGAAAATAACAGCAAAAAAGTCTCCGTACATTTATTGATGTGTATGAATAACAGATAAAAATAGTACCGGAATAGGGAAAATCCGTATGGACTGAGAGTTCTACATATCAACGAGCATGTTATTATTGTTTTTGTAGCCATTAAGAACGATAGACATACGCTTAGTCCGTTTTATTCAATTCATATACATTGAACAATGGAGATACCAATTGCTATTCGTAAATTAGTAGTTAAACTAAGAGAAGATGGTAATTCTCTCAGAAATATTGCACAAACAATAAATAAATCGCACTCGACTGTACAATATATTATAAACCGATACAACGAAACTGATTCTTTTGAAGATCGAAAACGTACTGGTCGTCCCCAAAAATTGAAATCACACCAAAAGAGGGCCATTCTAAGGACAATTGTGACGGAACCAAAAACCAGTGCACCTAAACTGGCTGGTATGATTGATACTGACTATAATGTGAAAGTTGTGCCTCAGACCATTCGTAATGTTATTAGAAACGCAGGATATAAAGGTTGTGTAGCTAGGAAAAAACCCTTTATCAGTCAAATAAATAAAAGGAAACGTTTAGATTTTGCGAAGGCACACATTCATAAGGGAAATGATTTTTGGAAATCTGTATTATTTAGTGACGAAAGCAAGTTTAATATTTTTGGTTCAGATGGGCGAGTTATGGTGTGGAGAAAACCTAATAAGCAGATGGATTGCAAAACTTTGTGCCCAACGGTAAAGCATGGGGGCGGTAATGTACTAGTTTGGGGTTGTATGAGCGCTGCAGGTGTTGGTAATTTGGTATTTATCGATGGTATTATGGATCAACATGTTTGTTTAAACATTTTGAGAAATAACTTACATGCAAGTGCTGAAAAACTAAATATTGGCAATTCGTTTATATTCCAACAAGATAACGACCCAAAACATACCGCGAAAAAAGTTAAAGAATGGTTGTTATACCGAGTACCAAAACAACTTAACACACCTCCACAATCACCAGACATGAACCCTATAGAACATTTATGGGAGGAAATAGGTAGACGTCTTAAAAATTACCAAACTCGAAACAAAGAACAATTAAAAAATGCAATACTAGAAGTATGGAACAGTATTGATTCTACTGTTACGACAAAATTAGTAGAATTAATGGGAAAACGAATGCACGAAGTTGTTATAGCTAGAGGAGGGCCAACTGACGATTAATAACGATAATTATTACAATATATCATGTTAAAAATATTTATGTTATTTTGTACGGAGATTTTTTTTGCTGTTATTTTCCAAAGTTGTTGTATATATATACATGTATAAAATAAACTAATTAATATATATGCTCTATTTTTCTAAAAACAAATATTAATATGTTTCTGAATAAATGTGTGTTAAAAATATGAAGTTAATCAACTTTTAAATTATCATTTTATGTTTTTGAAAAAAATTGACAACAGTGTACGGAGACTTTTTTTACCCACTGTATAACATTTTTTTTTTACACAAAATTTATCATTTTTTTTTTCAAAAACTCGACTAATTCTACCCCGGTATCAGCTCCGGTTAAATATTATTTAGTGTGGAGTAAGGAATATATTTTGTATACATATAACAATAATAATGTTGAAAACAACGTGTACCGTGAACTTGACAAGTTTCTTATCTCCTCTGCAATCAATACACCGAAATTACACAACGTATGTGTTGTCAGTTGTTATGTTTTAGGTTTTTCTTTTAAATATCTATACCTATGTAAAATTGTAGACTTTAGACGTGGCCGTAACACCGCGAATAAACTTTATCCCACGTTATAATACTGTAGTATGAGATAATAGCGTAATATGACTAATGGTGTGTAATAGTAGTCTCGGTCGACGCCGTTTAAAATAATAATATTATGTCACTATTATCGCTCTTGCATTGTTGTACACGTGTAAAACAGACGGTATGTCCGTGTCCGGTTTCAATGTGCACTTTAAAAAAATAATAATAATAATAATACCTAAACGCTTTAAAGGCATCGTACTGTTACGATCGTTAATATTAAAGGTACTGTGTAATTTTAATCCGAAATAAATATACCTACTTAGCGCATTTTGAGCACCGAACGCGTTAACGATGCTACAAAAACAAAAACACCTGTTGCTTTTTTAACACCTTTTTTTTCTCTCGACATTTTTAGCTTCGAAGCAATACAGCCGAGAAGGTATTTGGGCCAGATCAAGACATTTTGAACAATAAGACAAAATATCATTGGGGGGGGGGGAAGGGAGGCTCTTCTTATAAATAAAATAAATTAATACCCAAATATTTGTCTCTATTTACTATTTTTTTACCACTTTAACTAGGAACCACTTTAAAGAGTAATAATACCAATTTTTTTCAAAAAGGGTAGCGCTGCGAACATTCTTTTTAAAATATGTTAATTTTTCCTTAAGCTGACCCATGACAAATTATACTTACCACGTTAAAATTATAACCCCAATTTTTTGGGAAAAGCTCAAAGCATATTAGAAAAAGTCTGTGGGATTTTTATATTTGTTTTCTTCTCAGCCTAATTTATATAATATAAATGTTCATTTTAATTTTTATCTATCTGTCTCCCTGTTCTAACCTACATAGGACACTCGATCGCAGTTGTTATTTCCCAGCCTCGAGTAACAAAACATCATTAGTAATAATATTTTTCATACAACTAGTTTTGCATATTATTAGTTATTACTATTTGAGATAGCCTTTGACGTCCTAGGATGTTTTAAATTTGTATTCGAACTGCAAATACTTTCTTTTTTTTTAAAATTTCACAAAAACAAAAATAGAGATCGAGGTTGTATTTTGACAAAACGAGTGTGAAGTAAAGTGAGATCCTTTGAAAATATCTGAGGGCCATATAGGTACGTCAGTACGTGTCTATCTTTCCTGCTTAACGGGAAGTATGACCCTGCTGGTGTATAACTATTACTTAACGTGTAATAATATTATAATACACTCACTTCATATTTTATGTGTTGGGTTTTCGACGAATGCGTTTGACAGATGCTGTTCGACATCTTCGACTTGGTCGCCGGGTGGGAATTTGCGTATGACTAACATATTATTAAATGCAGCCTTTAATTTCGAGTTTGACAATTAAAACTATCATCAAACTAATCTAATCACCGTCGATCGGCGATTATTCACAATTTATTATTATATTATGTGTATCTTGTTATATCATTATAATTAATTATTATAGCGAGGCAATAAGTTTTCTAGTTACAGCCCGGACGCGTTGCCGGCCACAACGGATTAACAAACAAATATACCTTTATAATAAATATTATTATAGTCCGAATCGTATGCTAAAAAAATAAACAATACTTTTATGGTAAAAAAAAATGTTTTATTTACAAGTTTGCCCTACGCGATCTCATAGATAAAGATATCGAACAATAAAATATGAGTATTAGTTAAGTTTTATTGTTACCTAAAAAATTATTTTTCTTTGATTATTATCATTTAACTCTTTCAGGCCCAACTTTTTTCTGTTTGCCGGTGACGTTCATTCTTAGAGAGAGAGAGAGAGGACAGAAGGTAAGAAGATACTTAATAAGTAGTAGATATAAAATATACTATAGGCCAATGTTAATTTTACAACTTTTGACTTTGCAGTTTTGTCAAAACGACATCTTTACATGCCTATAATGTTCGTGCTTATTTTTCTTTTCTACAGCTCAACCAAGTAAAGCACTAGGCACAAGAAACTTACCGGAAGTTGGTCGGACGTTTGTGTCTTTTCCGTGGCCTGGGCGCCGTCCACCGGCTCGTTAACGCGGTCGTCGGCCGTATCGTCTATGTAACCCGCGTTGGCGGGCGGTTCGAGTGATGGCCGACTTTCCTCGGATGCCACGCAACTGTTTTGGTTTTTCATAATAATAATTTTACACACGTATAACACTTGTGACAAAATACTTGGAAATCGCGGCCTACTGTGAAATAACAACACTGCGACGGTACAACCGCGTGTCTTACCGTCAAGCCGCACTCAACAGTACTAGTGTGTTATGTGACAGCTATTATCGACGGTGCAAGGTACGCAAAGTGTCGCCGGCCACGCGAGTCGTACCGTAAGCCGCACCGCCACCACCGCGACCGGCGTTCTTGCAGTTTCAATACCTGACTTGTTTCTTGATTTTTCGATTAAAGTTTAAAGGTCGGCCGTTCCGTGGACTATTGGAGCTATTTCCTACACACATTGTTGTTGATTACATCATAATACAGTTGTCGATTAATATAATTTTATTGTCCCAAAAATCACAACACATAATATTATATTATACAGCTACAGCGTGCACGACAATTCCACGGTACAACCATTTTTTATGATTTAAAACCAATAAATTGCTACGCGGAAAAAAATGTTTTAAATTAAATCTTTAATACTTGGGTCTGACAAAAATTGGAAAACTTATTACGAATTTTATAAACATAATTAACCCAAACTTTATAAAAAATAAAAAACTTCAAAGCTCATTTATGAAATCATATTGAAACATTTAGCCCCAAAGGGTACACAAAATTTGTAGGTATACACATTTTTGTTTGTATAATTCTTTAAACTTAAAATTTTGACGTTTGCACGTCAATACTTCTGTCATAGGTCTAAAATATTTCATGAAATCAAAAAATCCTAAACATTACAACTAACCTCGTCTATAGAAAACATCATACTGTATCATGTTATGCACTTATGAAGACTGTAAAATATAATATGCCTTTTTGTTTATTAGTCAGCGCGAATGTAGTGCGTTCCGACATAAATCTTTATTTAATTATCATAGAAAAAACTCAAATAACAATATATGGTACCTGTATCTAGCCTTTGGTGGTCGACGTGACAGTCACACTATTATCAACTTTATATTATTATACTTGTTTTGAAATGTAAAACTTATTTGTGTTAAAATAGTCGTAATTCCTAAATATTGTTATTTCAGCAACATTTAACACGTTATGTATATATATTTTTTTTATTGAATTTTGCCTCATCATCTCTGGCAATACAATTTGTATGTTTTTATACGTTCGGGTGGACAAACTGATACGATAAAAAAACAATAATCTGTAATAACAATGTCTGTAACAATAATAATAGCTCTATGATAGAATACAGTCATAATACAGTCATAATACAGTCATACAATTAATTGGACCTTGCGTTTAGCGATATGATACGCTAAAACCGTGACTGTGTATTTAACTTATCAATTATATACATACATAATATACATTATTATACCGTTGTCGCGTAACAGTGTATTTTTTTTAAAATTTTACTAGCGACTACCGTGCATTACTTAAAAAATAAATCAAAGCTTTGTAACGCTTTTAAAAAAAAGGTTGGTATCGAAAAATCACCAAAAAAATTCAAGGGTAAAATACCAACACAATAACAGACAAATTATATAAACAATATGGAATATTTTTACACCGAGACAACCTATGAAAAACTATATCGTTAACGGCTGATCATAAGAAAAAAAATAACTGCACAAACTGTGTAAACAAAATGTACGTAAACATACATTGGTTTGCACAATCTAACTGCGCTTGTAAATAAAAAACGATTGCGAGTTCAGGCGATGCTTGAAAATAAAACTATAAACTTTTCGGAGTGATTAAAAGGATATCGTGGGGTTAGAATTAGAACTTTAAAAATAAATATCCAAAACTAGTGATCGACCAGTCAAAATGTTCGACAACTTATTTTTAATTTAAAAAGTTAATTAAATAGTATCTATATACGTTACCATTTAAGTTTCAAAAGTATTTATAGAGCTTTGGCAAATATTAAAAAATTTAAATACTTAGTAGTTTTATCTATTTTATCTATTTCTCTGTTTCACCGTAAATAATTATTCACTCTGTTGTATTTTCAGTGTAAAAACTAAAACTATAAGTATTAAAATATAATATAATATGGTATCGAAATGCTAGTAGAACTAGTAAAATGAGAAGTCACTGCAAAATTTGTATCTCGCACTACAATAATAAGCAGTCTGCTGCCGAGCTAATGGAGATATCTAACCAGAGGAGTGTGCAAAGTGCATACTAACACCATTGCCATAATATATTTGATATTATTCAGACGTTTTACACTGCGTGCCACCGAAAAAACTACGGAAGGTCGGATTAATTTAAATTGTAAAAACAATAGATAGGTAGGTACCTAAACATGGAATAATTATATATGGTACATCAGTAGCGAAACGTACCTCCGTGCAATTAAGCTCTGTTATTATTAGGGCCCGGAAGTTCAAATGCGTTTGCATGTTTTTAATGAATTGTCAGAAAAAAGTTAGAGAGCTACAAATTTTAATTACATTTAAAGTCCAAATTAAAATTAATTTTTGCATTTTTGTTTTTATTTTATTTTTACCAATTTTTCAAAAATATATTTGAATTTACAGCATTATTTAAATTTTGTTTAAAAATTAAAAATATATGTCAATAAAAGAGATTGTTTTGGAAAAATAAGAATTATCAATATATTTGTTATTAATAAATATACCTAACAATCAGAATTGTGTTATAACATAAATTAATATTATCAAATAAACAAAAAAAAACTTTTTAGTTATTTTGTTACTATGATTATTGTTGCATTTGTAATTTTTCAAAATGAAGTGTTAATTTAATATGTTTATAATTTATAAATAAGTATTGTATATTTAATTTTTGTTTTATTATAAAAACAACCAATAAGTCTTTTTTTGAAAATAAAATAAACAACACAGCTTTACTTGATTACCAAATCATTGTAGGAAAAAATAGAGAAGCTCCTTAATTCGGTAGATTTTTTTTATAGCCTGTATGGTTCTTACATGAAATGCACATAAAATAAGTACGTTAAAAAAACCATTACTTTCATTAAAATCAAATACTACAGTGTGATATCAGGTGAAGAAAGAAACGCATCTCAACTTTATAATTTAAATCTCAACATTTGATCACAGTTAGTCAATAACATATTTGTGTAGTTAAAAAGTATTAATTGCAGTTGAAAATGATTCAAGCATTTTATTAGTTATTAAAATATAGATGGGGGACTGACAAGGTTAACTGTTAAGTAATGCACGCACATAAAAATAATTTACAGTACACTGCAAAGATTACCATTTTTTAATACAAAATTTTAATTTATTCGTTATTACATTAATATCTCTTAATAACTTTTCAAAGTGCAGCGACGATAAAATGCTAATTAAAAGTAGGGATTTAAAATATTTTTTTATTTTTATTTAATTGCTTTCTTTATTTTAGCTAAAGAAATCTAAAATGGTGTTTGAAAAATAGTAAATAGTGGGTGTGTTAAACTAACGAAACACGTTCAATATAACAACTGAACATTTGTCCTGATAAAAAATAAAGAAACTGAAACCTTTTATTAGGTTATGTGAGTTTGGTCTAGTTGACAAAAGACAGTGGTATTTAGCAAACAACCCTAAATTACATTAAAAAACCAAACATACTAACAAAGCTCAAAATCCATAGACTCTGCCATTGAAGTTTGTATTCAAGTAAATCAAATATTATAAAACGTCGTAATGAGATATTATCGTTTTGTGGTCATGGTGAATGCCTAGTTTAAAAATAATTCTCTGCGCTGATAGTACAATTTTTACATAACAAGAAAACTGTAACATGAAAATACTATTTATTTAAATAGCAAATTTTTTTTTTTTACAATATTTAATGAATAAGATGTAAAATTATGTAACGTGAATCGTCCAAATAATATTTGACTGAGATTAAATAAGTACATATTATAGTCAACAGTGTACCCTGTAATTTTAGTAGGCAACAGACGGAAAGGAATATTATACGAGGCCGAGTAAAGTTAACCTGACGGAGCAGTGGCTCAAGGAGAACAATATGTTTAACGACATATTATTTTCTTTCTTTATATCTTTATTATATGAACGAAAATTTATTTATAGTGGAAAAAAAGATTATTTTCCATCGACGTGTATAAAATACATTTGAAATAATCATCACCGTGTATTACGCGTGTAATGAATACTTATAATATGTATTTTATATATATAATAAACTAAGATATTATACTATGCATGCGTCTACATCAGATCATTAAGATCCGTCACGTTGGGTGGCATTTTAGTTATGCGAGTGCTATGAAACGAATCGGTTATTTTCATGATCATCATGTCGTACTTGGTGATTATATTGATGGCAATTCCCTTGCGACCAGAACGGCTCAAAAAGTTTATTTTGCTTTTGTATATTTCAAGTTCGACCGGCAGGTCGTAGTTGATGACCAATGATAATTGCTCTACAACAATATTTTGAGCAAACAGATCGCTGGAAATCAGCAAACGAATCGAGCCAGAACGGAATTGACTTTTTTCCCCTGATTCCTCTTAGAAAAAAAATGTTTGATGAGGGTGGTATACTTGAAAAATCGTAGAGAGCGTTTAACTGTAGGTAACTGAAGATTTATCATTTTTGCGGTTTCACAAACTTTATTTTCAAAAATCGGTTTTATACCTCCCCCTCCTCCTATTGACGCAATCAATAAAAATCTTATCTACAATTTGACGAGCATATCACCTGAAACGGAACGAGACCAAAAAACGCGAAAATCCGTCGATTAGAAGTGGAGTTAATTCGAGATTTGTAATGCAAAACATGCAAAACACTGTTTAGCGGGAAATGAGCTTCAAAGTTAGCAAGCAAGCAGGCTCCGAAAGTGTACAACTTGTTTAAAAAGCGCTAAAACTCACACTTACAACATCCAAAGCTACTTTTACGACTCATCCACAAGTTATCCACATCCCAGAGGACAAAAAAAAAATTGAAAATTTCAAGTTTTTGATTCGGTTTTACTACCATATCACCTTAGTCACTTGCCTTGTGATGTTTGCTTCTCTAGTGGCATCCCGATAGTTACTGGATTACGCACTGAGCGTGTGTTTACTTCTAACCCATTATTAGACATAGTGGCAGACTCGCCACTATGTATTTCTACTACATACCACTTCCTATGTATACCACTTGGCATTCCTTTAATATGTTCCTAAAAAACACATAAGACGTCTTAATGAACACAACAGAAAAGTATTTCTTGTAAAATTTTACTGTTTTCAATACGTATTTCGACTTTACTGCGTTTACATATACGGGTAAAGTATTGGTAAACCTTTTTTTTTTTGTTAATTAGTAAATTTCATTCTAATAACTAAAATTTTAGTAGGTATTGTCATACTATACCCCGAAGAAATATTTTTAAAAAATGTGTTCGGCGTTGTATTCTTACTACTTCCTTAACTCTTTTTAGATTTTTGAAACGTATACCCCTTCGATTTTTTTATTCCCTTAACGCGAGTATGCCGAAATTAAAAATTTATTTATCAAACATTAATTTTTTAATAAAGAATATATTATTACTTCAGTTTCTTTTCTCGCTTCAAAAGTACGATTTTTGGTGTATACCTACACGTTTTTGTTCGACTGTATCGACTAATTCTTCTTGTTGACGACGCATAAGGGTTTTTTCAAAATTCATTCCATAGTCCAAACTGTCTTCTGATCTTGAATAGCTTGTATTATACAGCTCAGATTCTATAAAACAGTAAATCGAGTAGTGTAAAATATTATGTTATCTATTTTACAAAAAAAAAAATTATAACAATATTATATGACATAATAATATTATTTCAAATATTTTATCACCTGTGGTACTGTTTCTTGAGATTTGTTCAGAATCCAATATTGCCGGTCCTGATTTTTTTATACTCGGATTTACTATGTTATGTACCCCATAATTTAGTCTATTAAACTGTCGATTCTAAAATTTCAATTAAATTGTTCAACTTTGTTTCAGGCGTGATTTAAAAAAAACACAATTACCATTTTATCTGTTTCAAGTGCGACACGCCCGTATTCATCCAGCGATTCAGTAGAAGCTTTCAGTTCTTGCATTAATCTATCGCATACAATATGCATGTCATTAAGTTTTTTTTTTAATTATTGCGATCGTCCTCAAGATCTTTTAGTTGTTTGCTAAATATTTCAAATACTAAAAGTTTGTCTCCGTGATCTGAAAACACTGAGGTGTCCAATTGCGCTAACACTGGCTTTAAATATGTGTCATATAAATCCA